GCATCCCGTGGCACGCATAGGCAAGGGCTGCATGGATGGTACACTAGCAATAGGGGATTACTTGGGTGTGACTCGTGCCTGGGCAGTTTGGTATACCGTACAGTGGTTGGTTGGGTTGGGACTTCCTGGCTGGCGAGGTGGATTGGTCATCAGGCAGCATGGCATCACGGCAATGCTTCCTTAGTTGTCGGGCAGCGTAGCTACCGGTAAATTTGTTGGGACAGCATTGCCTTGATGCTGTGCTTGTTTGTGGGGTGGAAATAGGCAGGAGGCATTGACATGCATTTGGGTTATATGTTGAGTGCTGGCTGGTAATTTATTTGACATTGTGGACTCGAACCGGTTGACACAATAGCTGGGCTGCTTATGGTGATAACGGTAGCTGTTATTGCAGCTGTTGATGGTGATTGTTGGTAAAACATTGAGCATGATCAATCCCCTGGCTGGCAGGGATTCTACTTGGATCTTCCAGAAGAAAATGCTGCCAAGAATGGAGGGAGCGTTTTGAGTGTCAAGCCACTAGTAAGAAATTAAGTAGTTGAAACAAGTGTACAGTGCAGTTGATTATTAACAGCGCCTAGAGCCCTTTGGCCAAGGCTCCTGAGACCAACACATGCTAGCCCCACTCCTACCTAAAGCATAGAAGGAAGCTTAAGGGTGGGGAAAAATAAGTTCCAAGGTTAGTGCAGTGCAGCTCTCGAGTGAGGCACGCACATTCCTGGCAGGCTACCTTGAGCCTAAGGCCTGGCAGCTCAGAAAGTGGCAGAGGGAGAAGAAAAACGCCATGGCTGTTTAGGTGGAAGGCCAAGGGAAGGGTAGGTGATGGTGATGGCATGCTGGGCCATTGTGCGGCTTGGTTCATGGACCATAAGGCAGGGGGCGTCAGCAGGTGCCCAGTACAGATCTCAGGCTACCCCTTCTCCTTTCTCCCCTTATGAAACGCGGGAATCGCTGGATCTGCTTCAGAGGAAACTTTTGAGGAAACTTTTCGCCACCATCCCCTTTTGAGTTGACTCAAAAGTCACCTCGAAACGCGGGAATCGCTGGATCTGCTTGAAAGGAGCACGGAGACCGTGGTGCCGGGGCCGTCAGCCAGCGAGTGCCGAGTCCAGATTGCAGGAAACCCCCTCTCCGCCCTCCGCAACTCCTCCCTTCCATGATTCGCGGGAATCTCGGTAGCAGCTACAGAGGGTGGCACAGCGTGAGTTAGTGGGGGAATGTCGGCCGCCGCTTCAGAGGAACGCGGGGATCATGGAGAAGGGGATGTCAGCGAGGGCGAAGTCGAGGTCGCAGGCCACCCCGTCCTCCATCTTGAACTCCTCCCCTTCCATCTCCTCGAAGCTGCTTCCACACGCATCCACTGCATGCATCGCTGCCGCGCTTTCTGCTGCATTTAAGGCGGCCGACCCAGCGCCCTCGGCTTGCATTTCTGTGCGCTTAGCGAACCGCCCCTTAACGCGCGGGCGGCTCTCCGCGTACGCCTTGCGCGACGCGTACCGGATCGTCTTCTCGAACCGCCGCGCCTTGCGCTTCTCCCGGTAGCGCAGCACGCGCGCCTCGCGCGCCAAGGGGTGCAGCGGGCCGGGGCTAGCGAACGACGACGGGGGGAAGGACGACGCGGAGGGGAGGGAGGAGGCGGAGGGCAGCGCGACTGGGCTTTCCGAAGCGGGATGCGCCGCGCGGGATGACGTGGCGGTGCCGTCAAACGCGGCGGCGGTTGCGGCGGAGTCGGCGGCGTGCCTGCCGCTGGGAACGAGGTGCGTGTCGGCACGAGAGGAGACGGAGAGGGTGGGCGAGGAGTTGAGGGAAGGGGAGCACTCGCGCCGACCGACCACGGCCGACGCGCCCTCGTCTTGCGATTGCACGGGCACAGCCATGCTCTCTTTCGCCGCTTTCTTACCCGCCGCCATGGCCGCCGAGGCGAGTTTCGCGTCGACGGGCGTTGCGCTGCGGTCGCCGCCGCCGTACTGCTCGAGGTCGAGGAACGGATCGACGTCAAACAGGAGATCTGCCACATCAGCGGACTCCATCTTTGGGAACTTAGGAGCGGCGGGCTGTGCGACGCGTGCCGAACGGTCCAATAGCGGAAGCGTGGCGGGAACTTGCGGCGAGGCCGGATAAGGCGGCGGGACGTGCGGCGACATGTGCAGTGGAATGTGCATGGGCATCTGCGGCTGCATCTGCGGCGGCATGTGCGGCAGGTAGTGCGCGTAGGGGAAGTAAGGCGATGGTACCATTGGTCGCGGGGGAATGGAGCCGGCCATCGCCATATGCGGCGCCATGTACGGCGCCATATACGGCGACATATGCGGCGGCATGTGCGGCATCCGCGGTGCGGCAGCAGCAGCGGCGGAGTGGTGTGGATAGAGGTGCGCGCGCGGGGGGTAAAGCCAGTTGCCGTTTCTACCACCCGCCTCCTCTTCCTCTTCCTCATCTTCCTCCTCCGCCCCGTTCCTCAAACTCTCCGCGTTCGCCGCCGTAACTTGCGACTGGTTGCTTTGCTGTCTCGACAAAAACGCCTTCTCCTGCGTTTCCGGCGACTCGAACCCGAGCTTGTCGCCGTCGACGAAATCCCCAGCGCCATTTGCGCCGTGGAACGCGGCGGACTGGACACGGGCGGCTTTACAGCTGGGAAGCGACGAGGGGCACTCGTAGAAGGGGACCACTGGCACGCGCTCGTGGCGACTCGCGAGGGGGTTCGCCTCGTGAATATCGGCGTCGCACGTCGCACAGAGAGCCGCAGCGTCGGCCTTGCAGGTCACCGCGGCCGGCGACATTTCGCAGACTTCGCAGACCCACACGCGCTCGTGGCGAGAGGCGAGCTTGTTGGCGCCATGCACCTTGCTGTCACACGCCAGGCAGAGGTAGGCGGAGTCGGCTCTACAGAAGATTAAAGCTGTGCTGGACTGACACGCTTCGCACGGCTTCGGCATGGCTGCTGCGAGCGAAAGGCGAGGGGAGACGCTATTGCGACGAGCCTACACGCTGCTATGATAATCGGTTGGAGTGAGCGGTTACAGCTCCACGTGATTGAGACCGTTGCGGGTGAGCTACACAAAAGCAGGGAACGATATCAGAGGCGAACTGGCTAATGATAGGGGGAGACTTTTTGTAAGGGGAAGGGAGTGGGCGGCGAACGGAGGAAGGAGTAGGTGGCTCAAGCCGTTGGTTGGAAAGTGGTGCGGTTGTGTTGTGTTCGCACAGTGAGATTGTAGGGCGCACGAGGGCCAAGCCGTTTCAAATGGTGGCCACGGGGACGAGCGATGGGGAAGAGCGATTGGGAAGAGCGACGGGGAAGCGGCAGCAGCAGAATGGATGGAAGGGATAGAACCCGACGGGACGGGAGATAGGATGCGATGGGATAGACCGAACCTTAACTGTGTGGAGGGGAGAGTTCAGGCAAAAATCTGCGCGGTAAGCACCTGAGTTGATGGTGGCCGCACAACTCGAGCAGGTCAACTGGCGAATAAGAAACGACTTCTAGCTCAAGGTGAACGGATGCTTATCCAAACTGCACTTTGCCCCTTGCGTCCCGCCCCACAGCCACTCGGCTGCATTCAGTTTGGGTTCGGGCATCCCCAACAAACCGAGCAGAACCGCCCCCAGCACACAGCTTGGATTTCTCCACTGGGCACTTGAAAGAATGGTTGGCACATTGATTATCGGGTGTATGGGTCTGTTGTACAGTGAAGCCATGAGGATTGGGGGCACGGACGAACATTGGCAGCCACGAAACAAAAGAAAATCGTTCAGTGACAGTGAAAAATCACGGCTCACAACCGGGGCGCGGAAAAGTGCCAACCAGCCGATAGGAGCGATATGAATGGCAGAGAGCAGGGCACACGAGGTTTCCAATGTGGAATTTGTGGTCAGGGCAGGCCGAATCTCGAGCTTCGAAGATAAAGGACAGCCAGGCGTCTCCCACTTTCGAGGCGCAAAAATCATGGGCTCCGTGATGCTGCTGATTGATTCACACACATTTCTCATCCACACAACCCACAGTGGAGATGCAACTTCAGTCTGCTAGCAGACATATTATCTAGAACGACCGGTCAGGGGTGGGTGGAACGTTCGGTGCATCCCGTCCATTCATTCGCAACACAGCGTCAGCGGGGCGTGGCCAACACTGACACCTCGCACACCGTGAACCAGGGAGGCTGGGGCGTGAAACTACAGCACAGAATGAACGGCTGGAAGGAAGGCCGCCAAATGGTACAGCTGACCACAAAAGCGGCGTTGTTTCTATTGCCACGCAACCTTCTGCGTAGGGCACGCTGTACATTGAAACGGGTGAGCGTGCACGACTATGAAATATCGATATTTAATAGGAGAGTCAAAGAGCCCACTCCACTTACGCCACAACCGCAGGACACTTGCCAAACTTTTAGGGTGTGTCGTTTGTTTCACGGGCACCTCCAAGATATTCGGAGCATCCCCAAACGAAACAGCTTGCCCCCACAGGTGGTGACAGCGCAACGAAGACCCAGCCTCAACACCCAGATCTTATCACGCTTCTAGAATCAAGAATTTGCGTCTGTGGCTGTCAATCTCAAAACAGCCCATCGCGTCCACGTCACTAACACGCAAGAATCAGTCAGGGCTGCGCTTTGACAGGCTCAGCTCATAGGCTGTCTGACCAGACCAGAATGAAGTGGTTTCCGTCTCGTTACAAGTGGAATTACGGAACAAGCACCACACTCACAAATCAATAGTAAGCAAGAAGCCTCGAACAATCCAGCTACACGAACAATATGGCTGCACATAATTGACTTGACGCATCCACACCTCTCCGGAAATGGAGGAAACCAATGACCCTAGTGAAGACAGGTGGGAGAAGATTGTCTACCCATACCCAAATATTCTCACGGTGTGGAAAAGAAAACCGGTCCATACATACAAACACGTGAATGTGATGTGCAAATGGAACATATTAGATTAGGATGAACTGCACTACAATGGTGGTTATGGCTCATCATATTGTATGACCATTCCATGTCACAAGAAGAGGGACGGGACAGGATGAAGCACATGCTACCAGAAGTGCATTAGTAGCATCAAGTCGAATGAGGGGAGTACAAAAGCGCATAAATAACCTCAAATACTGTTTGTCAGCAATGCATGAGCTACATCCACTCGTGGCTTTTATGCCTGACAGTGGCGACACTACTAAATCCTACCTAGATTGCCAATCTTGACATGGATCCGCACATCTGGTGCTGAACCTACCAGCAGCTGCTACTCCTGATCACCCTCACACCACATCAGTGCACATCATCCCTACCATGTCTCCCTGTCCCCCTGTCCCCCTGTCTACTGCCCTTGTTATTCTGCCCGGTGGCAGAGCTACCTCTCCAGCACCGCACATCACACAGCCCTGCATCACGGATCATACATCATCCACACTTCTCTCTTCACCCCCCTCACCACCCCTCTCCTCACCTTCCTCTCTCGACGCAGCCTCCTCTGCCTCCCCATCACTAACCCCCTCTCCTCTGCTTCCTCTGCCACTGCACCGCCCCCTCCCTCCTCGTCCCCTCCTTCCGCCTGACCAATTTCCAAAGCACCCTCGTTTCTCCGTGCACTCTCTTTGCTCTCCCCACCACCATCATCGCCCCTATCAGCAACTCCCCCCACTCCTCCAAACCCTTCCGCACCCTTTCTCCTCTCCCTCTCCCTGTCCAGCCTCTCCTCCTCCGCCTCCTCATCCTCCTCACTCTCCTCTTCCTTCTCCACACCCCCTCCATCACCTTTCCCCACCCCCTTCTCCCCCGCACTCTCCTCCTCCACACTCCCCTTCTCCTGCTCACTCCCCTTCTCCTGCTCACTCCCCTTCTCCTCCTCCTCCCCACCCCCCCTCTCCTCCTCAGCTCTCTCCTCCTCGTCCTCAGCACTAGCAGCCACCACAGCTCTCGCCATGGCGGCCCTCTGCTGCTTCATCACCGCCTTAGTAAGCCCGATCTTCCTCCTGTCTTGCACACTCTCCTCCTCCTCGTCCTCCTCTTCTTCCTCCTCCTCATCATTCACTATAATCTCCGGAATCCCCTTCTTCCCGATCGGCACAGTCACGTTCTTCACAGCAACAGCACCCGCTCCCTTTCCTGCACTCCCCACTCGCTCCCCGAGGCCTGCTGCTCCCTTGCCCTCCTTCCCCTCCTGCTTCTTCTTCTTCAACGCCTCCCTCTCAGCCGCCGCCTTAGCCTCCTTCACTCGCTTCCCCTCCTCGATCTTCCGCTGCCTCGCATCCTCCTTCTCCCTCCACGCCTCCTCCTCCTTCCTCCTCGTCTCCTCCTCCTCCCGCCACTTCTCCTGCTCCTCCGCCATTCGCTTCGCCTCCAGCTCAAGCCTCTCCTTCTCCTCCGCTTGTTTCTTCCTCTTCTCCGCCACCTGCTGCTGCTTCCTCTCATAGTGCGTCTCGGCGATCCACGCTCGCGTGGTAACATTCACGAGGGGCACCACGACGCTGCTGTTCAAGTGTAAGTGCTTGAACCCGTACGGCTGGACGACCTGGTTGTCGGCGAAGACAAACGCGCGCTTCATGTGCACGAGGCACTTGTTGACGTCGTACTCGCCCATGGTGCCGCACGCCTTGCACCCCACGAAGTGCGTCACGAACGGCCACCGGTCGTCGCCGAAGCCCGCGTGAAAGCGCTCCATCATCTCCTCAAACCTGCCAAGGAAGAAGGAAGAGGGAAGAAGGAAGAGGGACAAGGGACGAGGGACGGGGAAAGAATGGCACTGGTTGGTGTCGTACTCGCCCATGCTGGCACATGGCATGCACCACAGTCTACAGGCTGCCCCACCTGCTGATCTGGTTACCAGCTAGGAGCAAATGGTTGACCCACTAGCAGCTAACCCGTTGACCAGGTCAACGCATTTCTTGACGAGGTTGACCCAGTAGTTGTGCAGGTAGAACTTGCTCTCTAGGTGCACGTGCTGGACCACTAGCAGCTCACTCGTTGACCCACTAGCAACGAACCTGTTGACCTGCCCGCCCCACTGGCAGCTAAACCGTTTACCAGGTCAACCCATCTGTTGTCCCACCTGTTGACGAGGTTGACCCAGTAGCCGTGCAGATAAAACTTGCTCTCCAGGTGCACGTGCCGGCCCCACCGCTCCCGCCCACTCACCAGCAGCCACACCAGCGCCGACTGGTCATCCGCCTCAAACTCGGGGCGGCCCTGGGGGAGGAGAATAGAAGGGAAGGCGAAGAGGAGACAGCGAATCAGATGAGCACAGAGGTGTCGTCCTGCATTGGCTCACCAGCGCCGACTGGTCATCCGCTTCGAACTCTTGGCGACCCTGAGAGAGTGAAGAGAGAGGCAAGATGAGGCGGATGCTTTTGAGTCGACTCAAATACAGAGAGACAAGACGAAGCAGAGAGGGTCGGAAGAGAGAGAGATATCAAATCAGCACGAAGGCACTGACCTGCATTGCCCCACCAGCAGCCTCACCAGCGCCGACTGGTTGCCCGCCTCGCACTCTAAGCTCAACACACCCTGAGATAAGCCCATACAAGTCACAGCCCACCTAACGCTTCACCGTCAGCTCTCTGTCCGCCTCCTCCCTGGCCCTGCCGCTGGCGCCCATGGGCGCCCACTTCACTGTACTCTCTCAGTCAACGCACTTTGTTCTTTGCCACCAGCACTCTGAGCTTACCTTGAGCTTTGCCGACAGAAGTCTGCCCGCCTCCTCCCTGGCCCTTCCCCTGGCGCCCATCGCCGCCCACTTGGTGAGCAGATCCAGAGACCACTGCACGGGGGACAGGGGGGCAAAAGGTGGATACGGAGGATAAGGGGGGGAGGGGGATACGGAGGATAAGGGGGGAGGGGGGACACGGAGGATAAGGGGGGGAGGGGGACACGGAGGATAAGGGGGGGAGGGGGGGACAGGAAGAGGCAGACCAACTCGGACGCAGTGCGTGACAGCGCGACGAGAGAGGCAAGGGAAGAAGGTTCGCTGGCGGAAGCGCGGCAGAGCGGGGCCTCACCTGGTTGTTGCGCAGGAGGAAGCTCCCAGTGCTGAGGCCCACCCTGTGGAGCGGAGCAGGCAGGGGCAGTATGTGGACGGTAATTAGGCGAGTGGAGAGGGGATGGTTTACGAGCTGGGAAGGTGGAGAACGAACAAGTCTCGGCGCACTGTCAGTCTCCTACTCTTTCCTCTCTTCCGCCCCTCTGCTCACCAGTCCTTGTGCTTGCACAAGAGTCGTCCCACCCCCGCCCCACCGTGCTCACCCTTTTGTACTTGGCCCGCTCCTACCCACGTGCCCCTCCGCGTTATTCCCATCCCTTCCCTTCGTCCCCTACCCCCAAGCATCCCACCAGTCCTTGTGCTTGTACACACGAGGTCGTCCCATCCCGGCACCACCACGCTCACGCCCACCAATTCCCTCCGCTGCCTTTATCCCTGCCAACCTCAGCTCCCCTCACCCTAACCCCCTCCTACAGCCCCAGCAACCCACCAGTCCTTGTGCTTGTAGACCAGGTCGTCCCACCCCGGCACCACCATGCTCACGCCCTTGTACTTGCGCCACGGCAGCTCGAACTTCATGTCTGCGCGCGCAAGGGGGAAGGGTGGGGGGAGAGGGGAGGGGGTGGGGGAGAAGGAGGATAGCCGTGGATGAATTTCTGCCGGTAAAAGAATGACCGCCTCATCCACCCTTAACCGAGCTCGCGGCCTTGTACTTGCGCCACGACAGCTCGAACTTCATGTCTGCGCGGGGAGGGGGAGCGAGTGGTGTTCGGGCAGGGGATGGAAGGGAGGATGGTGCGAGGGGCTCGCAACGTGCGCCAGCATGTGTTGCAATGTTGCCATCATGCCTTCCCCCTCCCCGCCATCCCGCAATCCCCTGTCCCCAGACACTTCCCTCCACCCTCCCCCACCGCACCCCACTCCTTTTCAGCCCAAGGCACACCATACCCGTTATAATGGAGTCCGAGTCGATCCACCAGAACCACTCTATATCGGGGTGCGCGAGCATGAGGCGGCGCAGCAGCGGCAGCTTCTCCCACATGCCGTTCATCTCCTTGTCAAGCCGCACCATGTGGTGGTATACCACCATGCCGTGCGTGCGCGCATAGTCCAGCTTCGACTTAAGAAACAGAAGCTGGAAGTGGTCGCCCACGCTGTGCTCGCACGGCTTCGGCTGGGAGGTTGACACGATCATGACACGTGGCCGCCCGTCACTGGTCGCGTTGCACCCGGGATTCAAGGCAATGTGCTCGGCGCGCTGCTCGTCCCAGTCTGTGGGGCCGGGGCGCGGGGAAAGGGGGGGAGAGAGGGGGAGGGGTCAGGGGAATACGGGGGAACGCAAGTGCTCGGCGCGCTGCGCGTTCCAGTCTGGGGCGAAGGAGAGAAAGAAAGGAGGCGCGGATCAGGCAAGGCAATGGGGGAAGAAAGGCGAGTTTCGGGGGGGGGGGGAGAGGAAGAGGGAGAATGGAAGGAAGGGGGGGTGGAGGGGGGGGGGGGAGATCGTGGCGAGGGGGGACAGGAGGGAGGATGGCGGACGAACTGCGGGAAGGGAGGTTGGGTTGAAGATGGAAGACCGACGAGAGCAGCGCTATGGCACCTGCGATGTTAGCCCATGCGGTATCGTACCTGTGTTGTTAGTCCATGCGCTATCGCACCGGCGACGTTAGTCCATGCGCTATCGCACTGGCGACGTTAGCCCATGCGGTATCGCACCGGCTACGTTAGCCCATGCGGTATCGCACCGGCGATGTTAGCCCATGCGTTATCGCACCTGCGATGTTAGCGCATGCGCTATCGCACCTGCGATGTTAGCCCAAGCCTAACATACCTGTGATGTTGGGCCCCACGCGGTACGGCAAGTTTCTGTCCGCCATCTCGTCCTGCAGAAAGAGCAGCTGGCTCTCCCGCGACTGCCATGTGGAAGAGTGGGCCGGGTGGGGAAAGAGGGGGGGGGGGGGGGGGGGCGGCCGCGGCGGAAAGGGAACGCAAGGTGAATGAGTGGGGCTATGGGCGCACGGAAGGGTTTTGGCCGCCTTCTTGTCCTGCAGAAAGAGCAGCTGGCTCTCCCACGACTGCCGTGTGGGAGAGAGGGGAAAAGAGGGAGGGGAAGGGAGACAGGAAGGCAAATAAGGGGGCACGAACGGAGTTTCTGTCCGCCATCTCATCCTGCAGGTGGAGCAGCTGGCTCTCCCGCGACTGCCGCGGGGGAGACGGGGAAAGTGGGGAGGGGAAGGGAGAGCGGAGCGGAAAGCGGAAACGCGAAGCAGTGAAAGAACGAATAACGAAGCCGTGCGTGAAAGTATGAGATCCAAAGGCACACAACGAACTATGTAAGCGGTGGTTGCTACCAAGAACTGCGCCACTGAAGATGCTACCCCCGCTATGCCTACGCAAGGGTCGAGGACTGTGACGCATATGCGCCGGCAAAATTGTGACTGCGATTACGGTTACCAGATCCTAGATTCAGACACGACCGTCGCCAGATGGTCGCTACAAGAATCGCCGTGGCAGTGGAAGGGGAGAGAAGGCGGCAGGCTGGAGGCTGCTGTTTGCCTCCTAAACGGACAGTTCGCTGTGCGGAACTTCGTCGGTACGAGGAACGTTGGTCCTAGACTTGTTGCAGGAGAATCGTGGGAACGAGAAATGTCGCCATGACAGTTGTCGAATTCATGCGGCGTGGCACGGAAAGGTGAGGCGTAGCTGTCAGTCTGCAGTTCCGATCGATGCTTGAAAAACGCAAACTCGTAGCTAGCACGAGTCAAGCAACCTAGTAGCCCTTCAACAAAGACCGGCAAGGGGTATCTGACGAAGAACGAGTCAATTGGGATTGGTGGTGAATCGCTGATCAGAATGCGCACACGAAGCAGAGTGCGGAGCGAGGCCTAACCGTTTGACAATCCACGAAAGGCAGACGATTCACGAAAGGATATCGCAATCGTAGCCATCGATCCACGAGAGGTAATTAGACTATCGTAGCCGTCGATCCATGAAAGATACGCGCACTATCATCGTAGCCGCCGATCCATCAAAGGTAAGCGCACTATCGTAGCCGTCGATCCACAAAAGGTAAATAGCCGTCAATCTACGATGGCTCAACTCGCAGCTTGAGCGACGCTTCTCTCGAATAGAACGACAACCGCCACCTGAGCCACCTCGGCTCCAAGGCACACTGAACGCGTAGCAAAGCACCTCCCGACACGACCGATACGAACATTGAGCAGGCGCTTTTCTTGAAACGACTTGAGCTCGCGGTTGAGGATCTCGGCGTCCTGAAACGGCGTGCCGAACTCGCCGGCGCCGAAGGTGCCGCGGAAGACGAGGAAGGTGATGAAGCCGCAGACGAGCGTCATCTTGAAGTTGTACGCCACCTTGCGGAAGCTCTTCATGCGCGGATGGTTCCACAGCCATGCCAGCGAGCACGACAGCCAGTCGCAGCACAGAGACCGCTCGGGCTTCATCGTGGCGAGTTAAAATGCGAATGGAATCCGGCGTTTGGATGTGGATCGACTTGCTAGACTAGGATAATTGTCGGAAAGGCTGAGACATCTCTAAAGACACATCGAGGGGGGGGGGGAAGATGGCACTAGTGCAGCCGTGCGACGATGGTCGAGCTCGGCTCGTCACGTTGCGTTACAATTATCGAAATAATCTTCCTATCACTAAGAAACTGTTGAACGGGAAGACGCTGTACCTACCGCACGAGCCGTCTTCTCACAGAGGCTGGTACTACCTTGTCCTCGGCAACACAAGCTAGGAACTTTAGAGAGGCTGAGGCTTGAGGAATCGAGAGTGAGGCATGAGCGCCTGCCTTCCCTTTCTTGCCGTGCCTCGGGGTCAGATTTACGCGGAATGGGTTCTCATGGTCCCTCGGGCTCATCCCAGCAGGTGAACCGCTGCTCCTGCCCGCCCCCGACAGCCAATGTCCCTCGGCCCATCTCATACCCCAAAACCGAAGGACCTGGTATGGAGGCCGAAGCTCCGCGGAATTTGGCATTCGGGGACCACACCAGGCTGTGGGAAGTGCGCGCATTGCGCGAGAAGAGCAGGTGCGGGCGGAGAATGATACCAGCAGCGGACAACCGGTTGCACGCGCGCAAGGGAGGCGTACACCAACACCCGCGTGGAGCTGCGCGGTCGACTGCGCCGAACCTTGGCCCACCAATCCCCGCGTGGCGCGTGCTGGCCTCGGGTTTGGAGCACAGTGCGGGGCGCTGGTCAAGTAGGCCCGCACATAGGCACTTCCCGCGCGAATTTGGGCGCCTTGGGAATGCTCAGCTGGCTGCACGGCTCTGAGCACTCTGTATAGCGCCCCGGTTCACAGTCTCGGACATTCGATGCTTTACACGTGGCAATATGAACGGTGAGCCGTGAGCCTGGTGCGGATTCACTGAACTGGCCCCACAACAAGTTATAACATCTCGTCGATGAGCACAAGATTTCGAGCTCCAAACAACACATACTCCTACGTCAACTCATTTACATTCTCATGTAGTGAGGTACTATTATTGCTTGTGGTTTTTGAACACATGACATACTCATAGCGCGTGCTCCATTATCAACGCTTGCACTGTGGAAAATCATTCATGATTGAATCCACCTAGAGTCTCCGCTTTCACTTAGCAAGGGAATGTGCATCTTTCACAAATGAACCTGGTATATATACAAGAGTGCATAGCATTCCCTCAAAACAGCCAGGCTGTGCTCCAACCGAAGAAGTGCAAGACGGTACTGCAACCATTGCCCAGTGTCCACATGTCCTGCAACCTCGAAGACCCCTGACGGGCTTTTCTGGCACACAGGTTTCGTCATCCTGAACAGTGTCAGCCTCGCTATGTTCGATAAAAGAACGTGACAGCATCGCAAAGGGTGTGCCGCGGAGCCCTTGAAAATTGCGCGAACCTCGAGTCCCTCGCTTGCACGAACCTCCTCAAGAATTTGCTTATCGTGAGGGCGTGTCGTTAGTGCTCAACTTTCACACGGTTCAGTGCGTTTTCAAACGTGAAATACAGAATAATTTGACGCGGTTAGAAATGGAAGAGGAAACATGAACACTCATGAAAGGGGATTTTAGCTCTTCCAGTCAACTCAGCGGGAAAACTTTCCCTTCTGCCGTCAAGCTGACATGGTGCATTTCCATAAGTTCAAAACCTACCGAGGCAGTCGAGCCTCGTCGTAAGGTACATTCATCGGGTTTACCCAACCTGAAATGGCATGTGAGTCCCTAAGGGTTTGATTTGTTTTTCCCTGGGCAGCCAGATCTTATTTTACATACCAGATCTAGCCCGAAAAAAAAATCGTTTCGCCTTTGGTTGGTGGAATTGACAGGTTGGAGAGGCTCGGTTGCTTCGAACCTCTAAGAAAGCTCCAAATCAGAGATCATACCTGTTGACGGCAAAAGAAAATGCTTGCCCCACTAATTTGACTGCAGGAGCAACTGGCCCCTCATGACGTGCCGCACTCTCGTCCCCTCATGTGGAGCAGGAAAAAGTGCTGAAACCAGCCAGGTTCCTTGCTCCTAGTCTTCTACAGACTGAAGTACACTGTCAGATAGTATGATCGACTGCTAGCGGCGAAGATGGAGGCGGAGTGGGATTCGGACGGCGAGGGCAAGCGATGGAGTCTAGGCCCGGCGTTCGACGACGCGGGCCAGCTGTCGGACGACGATCTTCTTACTGACCTTGAAAGTAGTACCGCCGTTAGAGACGAGAATGTTATTACTGGCCTCGCTGGTGGTACCGCCGTCAGAGACGACGACCTTCTGACTGACCTCGAGTCCGCCATCAACGGCGACTTCGCTAATGATGTCACCGGTAGAATCGAGGCCCAAGCTATCGATGGAGCCGGTAGCAGCGGCGTGCGGGTCAACCGCACGTTAGACATCGAAGGCGCTTCAAACCTTAGCAGCGCGTTAGGGCCTAACGGCGCGTTGGGCTGTAGTAACGACAAAACTGAAACTCCTGATCGACCAGCTGGTAACGCGGGAGGCATCGACGGCGGAGCTGCCAGCCTAAGCGCAGGGAACGGGGGAACACAGGCGCAGCGGAACTTCGCGGGAGCCAGCGGGCGGGGTGAGGCGGGGGAACAGGTCGGCGCAGAGCACACGCGCGGAACGACAGATGTGGCGCCAGTGGCGGCTGAACTGGCGGCGCAAAGGGAGGAGCGGATTGCAGAGTCGACTGAGCAGGCAGTAGGATCAGGCGCTTATGAATCAGCGGCGGACGGGGCGGAGGCGCGCGCAGGCGCAGGCGGGGACGCGGGGTCGGGCCGCGCAGCAGCAGAGGAGCCGGCGGGACGAGGATTGGGAAGCGGAATTAGGGAAAGGGAAGGCACGGGACGCGCAGAGAACGCGGGCGACGGCGGTAACGCAGCGGGTGTAGACGAGGGCAGGGGAGGCCAAGGGATGGGTGGCAGCGAGGTGAGCAGCGCGGCAGGCGGGTCGGGGGAGCGGCGGATGAGCTTGAAGGAGACCGGGCGGAGCCGCGTGCGGACGGATGCAGGTGAGGCCGTGGAGGCGGCGGCAGTAGAGGCAGCGGCAGGCGGTGGTGCTAGAGCCAGTGGTGGCGATGCAGCCAACGGGAGTGGTATTGCTGGTAATAAACTGGGCGACAAGGGGAGAGCAGCGGTTGGAAGGGCACAGGTGGGGAGTGGGGCAGGGGCGCGGGCACAGACAGGCGAGGGGGGGGGAGCGGGGGTAGGGGGAGGGGCAGCGGGGGGGTCGGGGCGAAAGCCAGTCTGGCAGCAGAGCCCGCGCCCTTCTGCTGCCTTCGCCTCCCCCACACGCGCAGGTCCTGGCAGCAGGGGGGCAGCAGCAGGGGGAGGGGAAGGGGAGGGGGAGGAGGGCGAGAGGAAGGGGCGAGAGGGGGTCAGGGGGTGGTTGGGCGGTCTCCTTCAGAGGAGAGGAGGAGGGCGAGCACGGGCAGTCCGGGCAGCAGAGGGAGGTCAGACAGCCCTGCCAGCAGGGGCAGCCCGGGCAGCTTGGGCAGTGCGAAAAGAGCGGATTGGGCGAGCGGGATTGGCCCACTGACCAGCAGTTTCAGCCCGGAGTTAGCGGGCAGGAAGGCAGCGGGAGGGGGGCTGGGAGAAATGGGGTCTTTGTCTTTGGACCGCCACAGCATAGCCGTGACTGGCAGGTGGAGTGACCCCGGGTGGGCGGACATCAGGGGAAGGGCGGGGGCGCAGGGGGGAGTGCAGGGGGGAGCGCAATGGGGAGGATTAGGGGGAGCGCGAGGGAGGGCGATTGGTGTGGGGCTGGGCGGGGAGAGAGCAGGTAGTGCAGGGAAGGGGAGTGGGCGGGCGGCGAGTCCGAGTGCCAGGAGGGACGCTGCAGCGGGGGCAGCAGGAGGGAAGGCAGGGGGGAGAGCAGAGGGGGCGGGTGCTGCAGGAGGGAGTGGTGCTGCAGGGAGGGCGGGGGGCAGTCCGTTGAGACGAAACGGCGCAGGGGGAAGGGCAGACGAGAGAGCAGGAGGAGGGGGCGGTGGACGAATAAGTCCCAGTCGCTCGGCCTCAACAGCAGCGTCAGCAGCAGCGGCAGCAGCAGCGAAAGCAACCAATGCAAGTATGGGTGCCAATGCAAGTGCCAGTGCGAGTGCGAGTGCTCGCAGGCGCATTGCCTTTGGCAGCAGTGTGAGCTTCAACGCCGCTGCCTCTTCCTCCTCCTCGCCCCCTTTCTCCTCCGCCGCTGCCCCCACAGCTGCCTCTCTTGCCAGGCGCGCTGCCAACCTGCGCTCCCACCTTGCCTCTCTCACCTCCTCGCCCACTTTCACAGTACCATCTACTGCCACTGCCACCGGCCGTGCTGCTGCTGCTGCTGCTGTTGCCACACGTGGTAGCATGGGTTCAGGGGGCAGAAGTGCCTCTGCCTCTCACTCTGCCTCCGCCTCTCCGTCCGCGCCTGCCTCTGCATCCCCCTCTGTGTCCAGCAGTCCTGTCGTTGCTCCAACACCCGCTTCCTCTGTGCCCTCACTTCCTGCTGGCTTCTTACCCGGCAGAAAGGAGGGCATGAGGGGCAATTCCCCAGCTGTCAACAGTGCTTCTTTCTCCTCTGTTCCCTCCCATGATGTGGTCGCTACTGCTACCGTCCCTGCTGCTGCTGCTGCTGCTGCTGCTGCCACTGCTGCTGCAGCTGCTGTTGAGGATGGTGGCTCAGCGGGTGCCACTGCGACTGCTGTACACGAGGGGGAAAGCGTTGCGTTGGAGGAGGGGAGCGACGTGGGCAGGGGCGTGGAAGAAGAGGAGGAGGAAAGAGAGGAAGAAAGAGAGGAGGGAAGAGGGGAGGAGGGAAGAGAGGAAGAAAGAGAGGAGGGAAGAGAAGAGGAGGGAAGAGAGGAGGAGGAAAGAGAGGAGGTGGGAAGAGGGGAGGAGGAAAGAGAAGAGGAGGAAAGAGAGGAGGAGGAAAGAGAGGAGGAGGAAAGGGAGGAGGAGGAAGGGATAGTGTTAGAGGAAATAAGAGAGGAGGAAGGCACAGATGAAAGCGTGCCAGAGACAGCAGAGGTCCCAACGAAAGCAGCAGCAGCAGACCGGGCTTCAATACCGTGCCCGCGCAGCCCTCTGGCAGAAGGTGCGGCTGCACCAGATGCTCTGCACTCATCGCCAGCAATGCTGCCACCACCACCGCCATCCCCACCAGCAGAAGAGGCCGGCGCTGCAATACCCCCCTCGCACAGCCCGACAGCTGCAGCTGCTGTTGCACCAGGTGTGACGTCATTGCCAGAAATACCATCACCATCACAAATGCCAGCACAAACACCAGCGGCAGCAGCAGCGTCATTACTATCACCCTCGCGACGAACAGCAGGAGCAGCAGCAGGAGCAGCAGCAGGAGGAGCCACAGGTGCACTTCCAATGCTATCGCCACCAACAGCAGCGGCAGCAGCAGCGTCATTGCGATCACCCACGGCAGGAGCTGCAGGAGGAGGAGGAGGAGCAACAGCGGCATCGTCACCAGCATTGTCAGCAGGAGGAGGGGGAGGCAGGCCACGGCTGTCGTCTAGAGAGCTGCGAGTGATGCCGGGGCCCGATGTGCGCGGCACAGATGACACGGTGAGTGGCACAGATGACACGGTGAGTGGCACAGATGACACGGTGAGTGACACAGATGACACGGTGAGTGACACAGATGTCACGGTGGGCGGCACAGATGACACGGTGGACCATCAACCAGCGGTCAGAAGCCTCAACGCGAATAGACTTTCCATGGCTCCCTTGAGTTGAACCCCCCCTCTTCTTTCCTCTCCATCCCCCCACTCCCCTCTCCTTTCCATCCCCCCACGCCCCTCTCCTTTCCATCTCCCCACTCCCCTCTCCTTTCCATCCCCCCACGCCCCTCTCCTTTCCATCCCCCCACTCCCCTCTCCTTTCCACCCCCCCACGCCCCTCTCGCCAGCGCGCGGACCTGCGTTCGCAGCGCATCAGAAGCCTCATGGCCGACACGCTGCACCTGCCGCCTGCGGCTCAGTTTGTGTATCTGAGGGGCAACCAGCTGGCAGCATTGGACGGGATTGAGCGAGTGAAGAGAGTCAAGGCGAGTGGAAGACGATATAGCATACACCATACACCATGCACCATACACCATACACCATGCACCATACACCATACACCATGCACCATACACCATGCACCATACACCATACACCATACACCATGCACCATACACCATGCACCATACACCATACACCATACACCATGCACCATACACCATGCACCATACACCATACAACATACACCATGCACCATACAGCATGCACCATGCACCATACAACATACACCATGCACCATACAGCATGCACCATGCACCATACAGCATACAGCATACAGCATACACCATACACCATACAACATACATCACACACCATGCACCATGCACCATGCACCACACACCCGTGCATGCAGCCTGCTTTAGCCCTTTGAGTCCACCCAAAGGCGCCCTGAATGCAGTGCTGGCGAGTTGCCCCACCAGCACCTGCCCCCCCCTCAGCCATGGTGCCCCCATCACCTTTTCCCCGCAGGTGCTGATGTCAGCTAAAACCAGCTGGCCGAAGCATCACTGCCACAAGCAGTCCCCACCTGGCAAGAGTGCCCTACCACCTCTCTCCACCCCCCGTCACCGCTTCAGGTGCTGGACGTGAGCTACAACCAGCTGGGCGACGCGTCACTGGCACCGCTGGCTGCTTGCACCGCACTGCAGGTTAGATGCTAATGGGTTTGCCTCCAATCCAAGGCCCGTTGAAGCGAGTGCGAGTGCTGATGTTTAACACTGTGCCGAAAGGTGGCTACAGCTGTAACCCCTTTGGGGCGGCAGCAGCGTGGAAGAACAGGGGTGAGGGGGGGGCAGGCCAGGCCAGAACGTTGAGGGGCGCACGCGCATGGCAGTCCTGTGTTCTGTATGCATGTGTTCTGTATGCCTGTGTTCTGTATGCCTGTGTTCTGTATGCATGTGTTCTGTATGCCTGTGTTCTGTATGCCTGTGTTCTGTATGCCTGTGTTCTGTATGCCTGTGTTCTGTATGCCTGTGTTCTGTATGCCTGTGTTCTGTATGCCTGTGCTCTGTATGCCTGTGTTCTGTATGCCTGTGCTCTGTATGCCTGTGTTCTGTATGCCTGTGTTCTGTATGCCTGTGTTCTGTATGCCTGTGCTCTGTATGCCTGTGTTCTGTATGCCTGTGCTCTGTATGCCTGTGTTCTGTATGCCTGTGTTCTGTATGCCTGTGTTCTGTATGCCTGTGTTCTGTATGCCTGTGTTCTGTATGCCTGTGCTCTGTATGCCTGTGTTCTGTATGCCTGTGTTCTGTATGCCTGTGTTCTGTATGCCTGTGTTCTGTATGCCTGTGTTCTGTATGCCTGTGTTCTGTATGCCTGTGTTCTGTATGCCTGTGTTCTGTATGCCTGTGTTCTGTATGCCTGTGCTCTGTATGCCTGTGTTCTGTATGCCTGTGCTCTGTATGCCTGTGTTCTGTATGCCTGTGTTCTGTATGCCTGTGTTCTGTATGCCTGTGTTCTGTATGCCTGTGCTCTGTATGCCTGTGTTCTGTATGCCTGTGTTCTGTATGCCTGTGTTCTGTATGCCTGTGTTCTGTATGCCTGTGTTCTGTATGCCTGTGTTCTGTATGCCTGTGTTCTGTATGCCTGTGTTCTGTATGCCTGTGTTCTGTATGCCTGTGTTCTGTATGCATGTGTTCTGTATGCCTGTGTTCTGTATGCCTGTGCTCTGTATGCCTGTGTTCTGTATGCCTGTGCTCTGTATGCCTGTGTTCTGTATGCCTGTGTTCTGTATGCCTGTGTTCTGTATGCCTGTGTTCTGTATGCCTGTGCTCTGTATGCCTGTGTTCTGTATGCCTGTGTTCTGTATGCCTGTGTTCTGTATGCCTGTGTTCTGTATGCCTGTGTTCTGTATGCCTGTGCTCTGTATGCCTGTGTTCTGTATGCCTGTGTTCTGTATGCCTGTGTTCTGTATGCCTGTGTGCTGTATGCATGTGTGCTGTATGCATGTGTGCTGTATGCATGTGTGCTGTATGCATGTGTGCTGTATGCATGTGTGCTGTATGCATGTGTGCTGCTGTTTCCTTCCTCCATGCACTACCTGTGTGCCCTTGCTACCTGCAGCCTGTTGCCCATTCTTATGCCCCTCACCCCATGATCATGTGCCGACGCCCATTCTCATCCCCACCCTCCCACGCTGCTCCCTGTGCTTCCTGTGCTCCCTGTGCTCCCTGTGCTTCCTGTGCTCCCTGTGCTTCCTGTGCTCCCTGTGCTCCCTGTGCTCCCTGTGCTCCCTGTGCTCCCTGTGCTCCCTGTGTGCCCTGTGCGCCCCACGGCGCCCCCCTAAACCCACCATGCAGCAACTCTTCCTGGCGGGCAACCGCCTCTCCTCCCTTGCCTCGCTGCCACGACTGCCCTCCCTCGAGGCATGCCGTCTGTTGTACCCCTTACTTTGCCATCTGCGTCGCCCTTGTTTCGGCCACTGCCACCGTAGTTCCACGCCCTGCCGTCGCCTCCTAGTCTCTGCCGTCGCCTCCTAGTCTCTGCACCTTCCCCAACCCCGTACCGCCATGCGTCAGAACTCACCCTGACTTGCGTTTTGCTTCCCCTTTCCCCCCTCACCCTCAGTTGCTCTCCCTCTCTGCGTTGCCCGTCCCACCCTTTCCCCCCTCCTGCCATGACTCTCCCCCCTCCTGCCATGACTCTCCCCCCTCCTGCCATGACTCCCCCCACGTGTGTGCGCCTCAGTTCCTGTCCGTGTCTCAGAACGCCCTCTGCCTCCTTGACATGCCCTCGCAGCCCAGACTCAAGGTAGCAGACTCAGTGAGGTCGCATGCCTCACTGTGCATGTCGCGTGCCTCACTGTGCATGTCGCATGCCTCACTGTGCATGTCGCATGCCTCACTGTGCATGTCGCATGCCTCACTGTGCATGTCGCATGCCTCACTGTGCATGTCGCATGCCTCACTGTGCATGTTGCATGCCCCACTGTGCATGTCGCATGCCTCACTGTGCATGTCGCATGCCTCACTGTGCATGTCGCATGCCCCACTGTGCATGTCGCATGCCTCACTGTGCATGTTGCATGCCCCACTGTGCATGTCGCATGCCTCACTGTGCATGTCGCATGCCTCACTGTGCATGTCGCATGCCCCACTGTGCATGTCGCATGCCTCACTGTGCATGTCGGATGCCTCACTGTGCATGTCGCATGCCTCACTGTGCATGTCGCATGCCTCACTGTGCATGTCGCATGCCTCACTGTGCATATCGCGTGCCTCACTGTGCATGTCGCATGCCTCACTGTGCATGTCGCATGCCTCACTGTGCATGTCGCATGCCTCACTGTGCATGTTGCATGCCTCACTGTGCATGTCGCATGCCTCACTGTGCATGTCGCATGCCTCACTGTGCATGTCGGATGCCTCACTGTGCATGTCGCATGCCTCGCCACGCCATGCAACGCAGCTCTTCCCAATGTCTACTGCTCCTTTGCTCCCCTTTCTCGTGCTTCTCTCTTTCTCTCTCTCCCTCTCTACCCACACGCCCCTCCGTGCTAATCCACGCCCATCCACGCCCCTCCGAGCCCCTCCGAGCCCCCCGTGCCCCTCCGAGCCCCTCCGTGCCCCTCCGTGCCCCTCGGTGCCCCTCGGTGCCCCCACCAGGTGCTCACAGCCAGCAGCAACAGCGTCGCCTCCTTTGAAGGCTTTCCTCTCCTCCCTGCTCTAGAGGTCCGTACCATGCCTTGCCATTTCCCATTCCCCTTGTCCTCTATGCCCTGTGCCCTGTGCCCTGTGCCCTGTGCCCTGTGCCCTGTGCCCTGTGCCCTGTGCCCTGTGCCCTGTGCCCTGTGCCCTGTGCCCTGTGCCCTGTGCCCTGTGCCCTGTGCCCTGTGCCCTGTGCCCTGTGCCCTGTGCCCTGTGCCCTGTGCCCTGTGCCCTGTGCCCTGTGCCCTGTGCCCTGTGCCCTGTGCCCTGTGCCCTGTGCCCTGTGCCCTGTGCCCTGTGCCCTGTGCCCTGTGCCCTGTGCCCTGTGCCCTGTGCCCTGTGCCCTGTGCCCTGTGCCCTGTGCCGCAGTGTTGCCTTGTTGCCTTGTACTCCTCTCTCTGCCTCAGCCCCGTTCCCCTACGTTTCTCCCCCCACAACTGCTCCCCATCCTCTTTGTCCTCGGGACTACAGCTCCACATATGGCCTCTGCTTCTGGCTCTCAAGTCACAAGTCACTCTCCGCTCCTCATTTCCTCACCACACCACAACCCCACAGTAGTCTCCCCTGCGTCTGTCTTTCACGTCACAAGTCTTCCCCTGCTTCTCGCTGCTTCTCTATGCTTGTGTCCCCTCTCCCAGCACCTGCGTCTGGACGACAACCCCATAGAGGAAGCCCCTGCGCCTCACTTCGCTGCCATCCTGCTGGCGGCCTCCTCGCTGCTCTCCTTCAACGCCTCAGGTGCGCTCTTTGCTCCCCTTGTCATTCCCAGGTGCTGATTGTCTCCTTTCCCCTTTACTTGGCCCGATTGCTTATCCGTCTCAATCGTGTGTGGAACTGACTTGTGCTCCCGTGCGTGCATGTGTGATGCGTGTGCGTGCATGGGTGCGTGTGTGTGTGCTTGTGTGTGGGAGACGTTTGTGCGCATGTGTGTGTGCACGTGTACGTGTGCGCGTGGGTGAGTGTGTGCGTGCATGCACATGTCTCCTTGCAGCCATAAGTGAGGAGGAGCGTGGGGCAGTGGAGGAGGCGGGGGGTGGGCATGGAACCATGTGTGTGCGCATGGGGTGGCTGCCAGCTTCCGCTTCTATTGGTGACATCCCAGGTGTGCATGCACACATGGGCAGATACAATCAATCGCCATAACCATTCCCCATTCACCACCCAGAGTGGTGTTCAAGTGTTTTGCCGAAAAGTTGACTGGTTGGCGAAATTCCGCATGCGCAAGTTCTCGTTGCTGGTGTGCATAAAAATTGACGCACCGGCAATCCAACCAGTCAACGAACAGCCCCTACCTAACCCAATCCAACCCCCCTCGACATTTGTTTCCCCATCCCCCCTCGACATTTGTTTCCCCATCCCCCCTCGACGAATGTCAGTCGCTAACCCAACTCCAGCGGCAACTATGTCTAGACTAGGTTGCGTCCTAGGACTTGGAGGAGCGTGCCGACGACCAGCGCGATGAATCTAGTGGCGACTTGGATTAAGCGATGAACCAGCGGTAGATCTGTGCGGAGAGTAGCCAGCCATATTCTAGTCCCGAACAGGCTACGCGGAGTTGAAGATCGCATTTTCTTGGGTTTTTTTTTTGCCCGGAAAAAAATCTAGGCTTGCCCGGCGACGTACACGTGACATACGCGTAACATAACGTACGCGTAATGTAACATACACGTAAAGTTACGCGTACTTCACATGTTGGATGGGCTTGGATTGGATGGTGGTTTGCCACCACCTTCAGTGGTTATCCACTGGTTTGCCACCACCCTGAGTGGTTTTCCACTGGTTTGCCACCACCCTGAGTGGGTTTCCACTGGTTTGCCACCACCCTGAGTGGGTTTCCACTGGTTTGCCACCACCCTGAGTGGGTTTCCACTGGTTTGCCACCACCCTGAGTGGGTTTCCACTGGTTTGCCACCACCCTGAGTGGGTTTCCACTGGTTTGCCACCACCCTGAGTGGGTTTCCACTGGTTTGCCACCACCCTGAGTGGGTTTCCACTGGTTTGCCACCACCCTGAGTGGGTTTCCACTGGTTTGCCACCACCCTGAGTGGGTTTCCACTGGTTTGCCACCACCCTGAGTGGGTTTCCACTGGTTTGCCACCACCCTGAGTGGGTTTCCACTGGTTTGCCACCACCCTGAGTGGGTTTCCACTGGTTTGCCACCACCCTGAGTGGGTTTCCACTGGTTTGCCACCACCCTGAGTGGGTTTCCACTGGTTTGCCACCACCCTGAGTGGGTTTCCACTGGTTTGCCACCACCCTGAGTGGGTTTCCACTGGTTTGCCACCACCCTGAGTGGGTTTCCACTGGTTTGCCACCACCCTGAGTGGGTTTCCACTGGTTTGCCACCACCCTGAGTGGGTTTCCACTGGTTTGCCACCACCCTGAGTGGGTTTCCACTGGTTTGCCACCACCCTGAGTGGGTTTCCACTGGTTTGCCACCACCCTGAGTGGGTTTCCACTGGTTTGCCACCACCCTGAGTGGGTTTCCACTGGTTTGCCACCACCCTGAGTGGGTTTCCACTGGTTTGCCACCACCCTGAGTGGGTTTCCACTGGTTTGCCACCACCCTGAGTGGGTTTCCACTGGTTTGCCACCACCCTGAGTGGGTTTCCACTGGTTTGCCACCACCCTGAGTGGGTTTCCACTGGTTTGCCACCACCCTGAGTGGGTTTCCACTGGTTTGCCACCACCCTGAGTGGGTTTCCACTGGTTTGCCACCACCCTGAGTGGGTTTCCACTGGTTTGCCACCACCCTGAGTGGGTTTCCACTGGTTTGCCACCACCCTGAGTGGGTTTCCACTGGTTTGCCACCACCCTGAGTGGGTTTCCACTGGTTTGCCACCACCCTGAGTGGGTTTCCACTGGTTTGCCACCACCCTGAGTGGGTTTCCACTGGTTTGCCACCACCCTGAGTGGGTTTCCACTGGTTTGCCACCACCCTGAGTGGGTTTCCACTGGTTTGCCACCACCCTGAGTGGGTTTCCACTGGTTTGCCACCACCCTGAGTGGGTTTCCACTGGTTTGCCACCACCCTGAGTGGGTTTCCACTGGTTTGCCACCACCCTGAGTGGGTTTCCACTGGTTTGCCACCACCCTGAGTGGGTTTCCACTGGTTTGCCACCACCCTGAGTGGGTTTCCACTGGTTTGCCACCACCCTGAGTGGGTTTCCACTGGTTTGCCACCACCCTGAGTGGGTTTCCACTGGTTTGCCACCACCCTGAGTGGGTTTCCACTGGTTTGCCACCACCCTGAGTGGGTTTCCACTGGTTTGCCACCACCCTGAGTGGGTTTCCACTGGTTTGCCACCACCCTGAGTGGGTTTCCACTGGTTTGCCACCACCCTGAGTGGGTTTCCACTGGTTTGCCACCACCCTGAGTGGGTTTCCACTGGTTTGCCACCACCCTGAGTGGGTTTCCACTGGTTTGCCACCACCCTGAGTGGGTTTCCACTGGTTTGCCACCACCCTGAGTGGGTTTCCACTGGTTTGCCACCACCCTGAGTGGGTTTCCACTGGTTTGCCACCACCCTGAGTGGGTTTCCACTGGTTTGCCACCACCCTGAGTGGGTTTCCACTGGTTTGCCACCACCCTGAGTGGGTTTCCACTGAGTTCCGCCTCTCCCTCCAACCCTGCAAAACCCCCTCTCTCTACCTCCCCTCCAGCCTCCCTCGTCTCCTTCCTCGCTGCGTCGTGGGCGCCCTTCCTCCCCACGGGCTACGCCCTCGCCTCGCTGCTGCTGGACCGCCCCATTGAGGACTGCCCCTGCCACTGCCGCCTGCTGCTCCGGCGCAACAGTGGCGGTGGGCAGCAGGGGGAGGATTGTGAGGATGGGGAAGAAGGGGAGGGAGACTGGGAGAGGGAGCGGGAGGGAGGGGAGGGGGAGGCGGAGGGAGAGGGAGCATTGGAGGCATGGCCATCGGGAGTGGTGGTGCGGTATGAGTGGCTGCGGCGGGGCAAAGGGGCGACTGAGTTCAGCGCGATCGATGATGCAGAGGGGGAGGTGAGGGTGTGGAGGGGGTTATATGCTGGACGCCCACCCTCTCTGCCGTGCATGCTCGTATCGCCCCCTCTCTGCCGTGCTTGCTCGTATCGCCCCCTCTCTGCCGTGCATGCTCGTATCGCCCCCTCTCTGCCGTGCTTGCTCGTATCGCCCCCTCTCTGCCGTGCTTGCTCGTTTCGCCCCCTCTCTGCCGTGCTTGCTTGTATCGCCCCCTCTCTGCCGTGTATGCTCGTATCGCGGTGCAACTGCCACCTTCCCCCTCCCTACCATCACGGCCCGTACCAAAGCCCAACACCATCAGGTGTACACGCGCACCTACTCTGGCGTGCACGTGTGTCTTGCTGCCTCACACCTTCCCTCCCCTCCCTGTGCTGCCTCATCCCCTCCCTCTCACCCCCACACCATCAGCTGTACACACCCACCTACTCGGACGTGCATGCGTGCCTGGCGGTGCGCTGCACCCCGCTGCTCCATGGCCGCCCCTGCACACCCCTCCTGCTCACCACGACGCCAGTCGCCCCCGGTATGCTCTCACTATCATTGGGAGGTCCTGTTGGGTCAGCCTGGGCTCTCTCTCCTTTCACCAGTCCACCCCCCCTGGACGCCCCTCCTCCTCTCACCAGTCACCAGTCCATCCCCCAGTCGCCCCTGGTGCGATTTTCATTCCGTTAAGGAGGCTCTGTTGAGTCGGGGTGCGCTCTCTCTCTCTCACAAGTCCATCCCCCCCGCACGTTTTCGTTCGCTCCCTGCTTCCTCACTGCACGCATCCGTTTGTGCGTGCATGCTGGCATGCTGCCATGCTGCCATGCACCCATGCTGGCATGCATCCATGCTGGCATGCACCCATGCTGGCATGCACCCATGCTGGCATGCACCCATGCAGGTCCCGGCATCCCGCGAGTGCAGCACGTGTCGCTGGGAGGGGAGGCGGTGGAGGGGGGTGTGCTGACCGCCATGGTGGAGGTGGGGTGGAGCTCGGGCGAACCGGGGCCCTGCCAGTACAGGTATGGCTTGGGTGTGTGTGGAGGTCGGGGGAAACAGGGGCCGTGCTGGTACAGGTATGCCTGTCCACGATTCTCACCTTGTGACTTGCGTTCTAGGTACAAGTTCCCCACCCCTTGCACGACACGACTTGTCTTCTCCTTGTTTCGGCCCTTCACCCTTCCATCTCCCTTCCATCACCCTTCCATCTCCCCCACCCCTCGGCTGGCGTGGCCTGTCTTCTACCCTCACCCTCTCGCCCTCCCTCGTCACCTCCCCTCCCCTCTTGTCAGCTGGAGTCGCCTGGCCCCTTCTCACTCACAGGGAGCAGCAGCATGGGAGGAGGTGCAGAGTGGGGGGGCGGAGTACCCCCTCTCGCTGCACGACGTGGGGTGTGTGCTGCGCCTCTCCTTCACCCCCGTGTCTGCCAGAGGGGTCAGGGGGGAGCCCGCCTCGGTCACTTCTCTGCCCATCGCTGCTGGTGAGTGGGGCTGGTGAGAGTGGCTGGTGAGAGTGGCTGGTGAGAGTGGCTGGTGAGTGGGGCTGGTGAGAGTGGCTGGTGAGTGGGGCTGGTGAGAGTGGTTGCCCATTTTGGTTGGGGAAAGTGGTTGGCGCGGGTTACTGATAGTGGCAAATCACTCCGTGCTTTCCCCCTTCTCCCCCCAGCCCCCCCCCAGGTGCTGCAGGTGGCGGTGGAGGGGGAGGCGCTGCTGGGGGGGGTGCTGCGCGCCAGAGGCACGTACTTTGGGGGGGCGGAGGGGAGCAGCGTGCTGCAATGGTTCCGGGAGGAAGGGGAGGCGGGGGAGGAAGGCGCAGGGGAGGGGGGAGGAGGGGAGGGCGAAAGAGGGGAAGGGGAAGAGAATGGGGCAGGAATCGGAGGCGGGGATGCTGTGGTTGGTGCTGGTGGCAGAGGCCATGTGAGGTGAGTGTGATGCATGTGGGTGGTGAGGAATTTGAGTGATGTGACATGAGTTACCCCCTCTGCCCCTTGTTTGTCCACCCGTCGTCCCTCACCACGCTACTTCCTCGGCCTTTCCCCCGCTATCCCCATCCCCGCTCAGAATAGCACTGGTGTACGGTTTAGATTTTAAGGTTTAGGGACAGCACTGCACGCTGTGCTAACTTCCATCCTGTTTTCCAACCCCCCCCTCAGGCTGGTTCCAGTGGGCGAGGGCCCGCAGTACGAGGCACAGGCGGGCGATGTGGGGCGGTGCCTGCTGCTGCGATACACGCCAGTCGCCTCCTCAGGTGAGCAGTGCCCCTAGCTTAACTTACTCCCCTGGTCGCCTCCTCAGGAAAGCTCTTTTGGTGATTTCCTATTCAGGCGAAAATTAGAACAGCTGGCTGCTTGGTATTCCGTTTCCCTCGCCCCATCGTGTTTCCCTCGCCCATCTTATTCTGCACCCATCTCACCTCTCATCACCCCGTCGTCTCTCATCCTCCCCATTGCCGCTTCACCTCTCATCCTCATTGCCCGTCGGCGGAGCAGGGCTGATAGGAGAGCCCGTGACGGCGCGCTCGCCCATCATCTGCTTGCGTACGTGCCCTGCCATATCAGCCACCTCAAAAGCATGCCCTGGTGCCCTAGCTATGCTGCCACAAGCTCATTCGAAGGAGCTTCCTTTCCTTTCTCTATATCTCCTCAATTTCCTTATTATCCCATGTCTCCTTGTCCTTTCAACTCTCTTCCTTATCCCACCGCTCCTCCATCATGGATCAACAGCCGAATGCACGACCTCGCCCCATTGGACGTAGACAGCTGCAATCGATCAAATGGAACAGTAACGAGGCCTTCTTGGACGATTATCCTCTGACGGGACCCCTGAACCTCAGGAACGATGAGCGCATGGGACCGTTGATCCAGAAGTACGTGAGCCAGGGCTGGATGGTGCGTTCTGGTGCCACGGTTCTGATGCTCGTCAGACGTATGGCAGCGTGGACGCCCAGCAGGAGCCTAGCAGCGATGCGCGAGTTGGCCGACGTCATGAACATGGTCTCGACGACCGTGAACTTTGCAGTTGCAACAGCATCGTTCATGGACATCCTGGAACGATTGGCTGTGAACGTGCCAGCTGTGCCCAGGAGCGTGTGCTACGGTACCTGGAGGCTGATCGTGAGCCCGTACAAGGAAGGCGACCCTGTGCCAGACGAGAGCGCCATGACCGAGGCCACGAACAAGCACCGCATCCAGGTCCTAGCAGGCGCGGCCCGTGTGACCCCTGCTCCAGTCAAGATGCCGAGGCCTATGGGCGTTGTCAGGATGTGCCTGGTGCCAGGAGACGTGGACCACGACAACGACAGCGATGAGGCACCAATGACCTGTGACATGTGACGTGGACTCGTTGTCAGGTGCGGTGTCACATGTCACTGGTGCCTCATCGCTGTCGTTGTCGTGGTCCACGTCTCCTGGCACCGGGCACATCCTGACAACGCCCACAGGCCTCGGGACCTTGACTGGAGCAGGGGTCACACGGGCCGCGCCTGCTAGGACCTGGATGCGGTGCTTGTTCGTGGCCTCGGTCATGGCGCTCTCGTCTGGCACAGGGTCGCCTTCCTTGTACGGGCTCACGATCAGCCTCCAGGTACCGTAGCACACGCTCCTGGGCACAGCTGGCACGTTCACAGCCAATCGTTCCAGGATGTCCATGAACGGTGCTGTTGCAACTGCAAAGTTCACGGTCGTCGAGCCCATGTTCATGACGTCGGCCAACTCGCGCATCGCTGCTAGGCTCCTGCTGGGCGTCCACGCTGCCATACGTCTGACGAGCATCAGAACCGTGACACCAGAACGCACCATCCAGCCCTGGCTCACGTACTTCTGGATCAACGGTCCCATGCGCTCATCGTTCCTGAGGTTCAGGGGTCCCGTCAGAGGATAATCGTCCAAGAAGACCTCGTTACTGTTCCATTTGATCGATGGTAGCTGTCTACGTCCAATGGGGCGAGGTTGTGCATTCGGCTGTTGATCCATGATGCGGGACAGTTGCGTTGTTGATCCTCGCCCCTTGTGTTCTAACCTTCATCCACCGGCCGGCCTGCACCATCCTCCTCTCCTCCCATCTTTCTCCGCCCCGTCCCTTCCCTCACTGCCCCGTCCCTTCCCTCGCTGCCCCGTTCCTTCTCCCCTCTCCCCTCCTCTCCCCCCCCCTGCTCCCCCCCGCCACCAGCCCTGCCCCGAGCGAGTGACGTGACGATCGAGGGGCCGCTGGTGGAGGGCGGGGAGGTGCGGGTGCGGGCGCGGCTGCAGTGGGCGGACGAGGGGCGCTGCGAGGTGGCGTGGTTCTTCACCACCACGCCACATGCGCTCTCCACGGCCGACTTGCAGCCCATCACAGCAGAGCGACCCAACTGCATGGTGAGTGCGAGCGAGGGTAGCACTGCAGGGGGCAGAGGGTAAAGGGTTGTCAGGCATCTCAAGAGGAGGGGCGCAGCGAGGTGGGCTGGTTCTTCACCCACTCGCCGCATGCTCTTTCTACGGCTGACCTGCAGCCCATCATGGCCGAGCCACCCAACTGCATGGTGAGCCACCCAACTGCATGGTGAGCCACCCATAACCTTTTACCGTAGATCCTGAGGTAGGGAGGGTTGCAGGGGCAGAGGGGCAAAGGGGTTGCAGGCGCCTCGAGAGGAGGGGAGCTGTGACTTGGCCTGGACTCGACTGGTCTTTTAATCATGCGGGCTTGTATGCATGGGGGGGTGTTTGCACAGGGGGGGTGTATGCATGGGGGGGTGTTTGCACAGGGGGGGTGTACGCATGGGGGGGTGTATGCATGGGGGGTGCACGTATGGGGGGGTGCACGTATGGAGGGATGTACGCATGGGGGGTTGCACGGGTGCATGCATGGGGGGATGTACGCATGGGGGGTGTACGCATGGGGGGGTGTACGCATGGGGGTGTACGCATGGGGGGTGTACGCATGGGGGTGTACGCATGGGACCTGACACGTGGCAGCCATTGGCTTGCACTTGGGACTTCCTCTTCTTCAATGACGCACAGAACGGACGGAGCTCTTTTCTTCTCCCACCCTCTTCCATCCGCCCCTCACCATCCGGCACGCACAGTGCCTTTTGGGGGTTGGGCCATTGGGTCGCTCCTGGTGAGTGATGCAGCGCTGGCTCAACGTAATGCACTCTTGCTCCCCTCCACACCTGCACTTCCCTGCACCTCTCCCCCGCCAGGCCCTCACAGTGCCTCTCAAGGCCATTGGCTCGCACATGGCAGTGCGGCTGGTGCCCGTGACGCTCAGAGCAGAGGAAACCATCTTCTTCTCCCCTCCCTCCCACCCGCCCCCCCGCATCCGCCCTCTCACCACCAGTCCCTCACAGTGCCTCTCGAGGCCATTGGCTCCCACCTGGCGGTGCGTCTGGTGCCGGTGCGGGCGGATGGGGTCAAAGGCAGGCCCGTGGTGGCTGTGTCCTCTGCTCCAGTCCAAGGTGGGTTGACTTCTGCCACAGTGTTTCATTCTGTTAGCCTGCTGCCACAGTGTTTCATTCTGTTAGCCTGCTGCCAGTGTTTCATTCTGTTAGCCTGTTGCTACAGTGCGGAATGACTTGTCTCTGATCGTATTCCGTCCATCCGTGCTCTTCTCTTCAGCCTTAACCACTCATCAACTTCTCCCTCTCAGTTGGTCCCTCTCCACTCCGCTCTCCGCTCCGCCCCTCTGCCCTCCCCCTCTGCCCTCCCCCCTGCCCTCCCCCCACCCCCTCCCCCCAGAGGGCGAGCCGCAGGTGTTGAGTGTGGACATGGAGGGCGAGGAGGAGGAGGGGGGCGTGCTGGTGGGGTACTACACCTACCAGGGGGGCGCCGAGGGGGACTCCCTGCTCGAGTGGTACCGCTACCCGGTGAGTGGTGCTGCTAGGTGGAGAGTGGTGCCGCTACCCGGTGAGTGGGCCCCTGTGCCGTGGTGAGTGCCGCCCTGTGGCTCGCCACTCCCCTCCTTTGCCAGCAGCCTCGCAAACTCGACATGTCTGCAAGCTTCAGTCATGGCGGTCAGAGCCCCCATTCTGGCGGTCAGAGCCCCAGCCTGGCAGTCAGAGCCCCATTCTGGCGGTCAGAGCCCCATTCTGGCGGTCAGAGCCCCATTCTGGCGGTCAGAGCCCTCATTCTGGCGGTCAGAGCCCTCATTCTGGCGGTCAGAGCCCCATCTCTGGCCCTCCTCCCCCTCAGCCAGTGCAGCGCCTCCTGCAGGCCGACATTGCACCGTCAGATCTCAGGCTGGTCAGGCCCGTTTTGCATCAGAGCACCACCACCGCTCCCATAACTCTCATTGCTTTGTTCCCATGCCACGCCTACCCCAGCGTGGCCAAGCCTTTCCACATCCACCACTTCCCACCCCTCATCATCTTCCCCCCTTCTCTCCCCCCCCGTCCCCCCCTCCTTCCTCCCCTCTTTCCTGCCGCCCAGGACGAGGATGGCCAGCCGGGGCAACACGGCGAGCTAGTGGAGGACGAAGACAGTGACCGGATGGCAGGCGGCGGCATGAGTCGGCACGTGCCAACCGCCAGCGACGTGGGCGGCTTCCTCTCCTTCCGCGTCACGCCCGTCCGATCAGATGGCGCCACTGGCGCCCCCCAGGCCGTCTGCACGGCCGGCCCGATCCGGGCGGCGCTGCCGTCTGTTAGTGACGTGTGGGTGGAGGGCGATCTGGTGGAGGGCGGGCGGCTGGTGCCCAGGTGGACGTATGCGGGGCAGGCAGGGCAGTACCCGCATCCAGTGGTTCTCGGTAGGAGCCCCTTTGTTCTCGTCGATACACGTTTCTCGGCATGCTTTCCGTTGTCTTGTTGTTGTCCGGTCCTGGTATCCCTATGCTCACACATCCCTATGCTCACACGTCCCTATGCTCACACATCCCTATGCTCACACATCCCTATGCTCACACGTCCCTATGCTCACACATCCCGCTCTCTGAGCCTGGCATGCATGTTGCACAATCACCGTGCATGTTGCACAATCACCGTGCATGTTGCACAATCACCGTGCATGTTGCACAATCACCTTGCATGTTGCACAATCACCTTGCATGTTGCACAATCACCGTGCATGTTGCACAATCACCGTGCATGTTGCACAATCACGGTGCATGTTGCACAATCACCTTGCATGTTGCACAATCACCGTGCATGTTGCACAATCACCGTGCATGTTGCACAATCACCGTGCATGTTGCACAATCACCGTGCATGTTGCACAATCACCGTGCATGTTGCACAATCACCGTGCATGTTGCACAATCACCTTGCATGTTGCACAATCACCGTGCATGTTGCACAATCACCGTGCATGTTGCACAATCACCGTGCATGTTGCACAATCACCGTGCATGTTGCACAATCACCTTGCATGTTGCACAATCACCGTGCATGTTGCACAATCACCGTGCATGTTGCACAATCACCGTGCATGTTGCACAATCACCGTGCATGTTGCACAATCACCGTGCATGTTGCACAATCACCTTGCATGTTGCACAATCACCTTGCATGTTGCACAATCACCGTGCATGTTGCACAATCACCTTGCATGTTGCACAATCACCGTGCATGTTGCACAATCACCGTGCATGTTGCACAATCACCGTGCATGTTGCACAATCACCGTGCATGTTGCACAATCACCGTGCACGTTGCACAATCACCGTGCACGTTGCACAATCACCGGCACCGTGCACGTTGCACAATCACCGTGCACGTTGCACAATCACCGTGCACGTTGCACAATCACCGTGCACGTTGCACAATCACCGTGCACGGGGCACGGGGCACGGGATCCCAACTTCAGCCTACCAGCTCCCCTCTCCTCCTCTCCCTCTCCATCCCCCCCGCCCCAACCAGATGCTACCCGACATGAGTGACAAGCGCCGCATGCACCCTTCCAAGCTCACCCACCCTGCAGCAGCAGGCGCGGTGGGGGGGGAGAGGGGCACGGAGCAGGGCGAAGGGGAGGGAGGGGAGGAGGAGGAGGGGATGCGGGTGGTGGGGGAGGAGGTGGGGCGCGTGGTGGCGGTGGTGTGCGTGCCGGTGAGGGACGACGGGGAGGAGGGCGCCGCTGTGGAGAGCGCACCTGTGGGGCCCGTCATGGCAGGTGAGACTCCTCCAGCCCTTGGCGCGTTGGGGGGCCATCATGGCCGGCACAGGTCTGGGCGAGTATGGGGAGCTTGCTCTCATGCTGTCCGCCCTCTTTCCTTCCCTCGCTTCCTGCCCATCCCCCCAGCGCCCCCAGCCTGCGTGCACCTGGAGGTGGACGGAGACATGTGGCACGGAGGGCAGCTCTCCTGCCGGGCGCGATACCATGGCGGGTACGGTGTACATGTGACGTGCATGTGCTGAGCATGTGCTGAGCATGTGCTGAGCATGTGCTGAGCATGTGCTGAGCATGTGCTGAGCATGTGCTGTGCATGCGCCAATGTGCGCTCGTCTTTCTATTCCCCATTTTTCTGCGTATCACATCATACCTACGCGCCCCTATTCAACGTCTTCCCTTCACGCCCCTTCCCGCTTCTTCTCTTATGTGTCCCATCTGCCCTCCCCGGTTTTGCCTCATCTGCCCTCCCCGGTTTTGCCCCATCTGCCCTCCCCCATGGCCGTCCCTGCCTGCAGGCAGCAGGGCGAGAGCAGGGTGGCGTGGGTGAGAGTGACGCCCGCAGGAGAGGAGCAGCTGGTTGGGCGGCAAGGTGAGGGGTGCTTGCGTGGGCGGCAGTGTGGGCACTGGACATGGCAGGCACTGGACATGGCAGGCACTGGACATGGCAGGCACTGGACATGGCAGGCACTGGACATGGCAGGCCATAGAATGAACACATTCCTGTACTCGTGCTGCTGCACCTTGCACTGACTGCAACATAAGGTGCCTACCTGGCCAAGTGCCTGTAATCTCTTGGCCCCGCTTCTTCTCCCCGTGTACCAACCCCCCCCCCATTGCAGCCTCCTACACACTGACAGCAGACGACGTAGGGTGCAGAATGCGAGTGGAGTTCACACCCGTCAGGGCCGATGGGGTGGCTGGGGAGATGGCTGCTCTCACCACCCGTACAGTCACACCAGGTTCGCCCAGTAATAGCTCAGAGCTGGCACAGTCACACCAGGTACCCCCTTCATGGTTGTTGTTCAATGCTGGCACAGTCACACCGGCCATGCACTTCATCGTTGCGCGTTTCAGTTTGAGTCGTACCGGGTGGAAGCCACACATGCAGCTCTCACCTACGGCATCTGAAGACGCCGTCTGCTGCCCTGCCCTCCCTGTCTCCCACCCCCCCTGCCCCTCTGCCTGCAGACCAACGCGTGTGCATTGCAGTGCTGGAGGGGGGCGTGCTGCAGGCGGGAGGGGAGTTGCTGGAGCGCGCTGCAGGGGGGGAGGGCGGAGGGGGAGAGGGCGGAGTGGGGGAGGGGGAGGTGTGGGTGGTGTGGTACAGGCGGAGACAGGACGGGAGGATGGTGCGGATAGACGGGGCTACAGGGCTGACCTACGTGCCTCAGGAGGCCGACTATGGCTGCTGCGTGGTGGCGGGGTGAGTGGGGTGTTTCACGTATGGGGTGCTTGTTTCACGTATGGGGTGCTTGTTTCACGTATGGGGTGCTTGTTTCACGTATGGGGTGCTTGTTTCACGTATGGGGTGCTTGTTTCACGTATGGGGTGCTTGTTTCACGTATGGGGTGCTTGTTTCACGTATGGGGTGCTTGTTTCACGCATGGGGTGCTTGTTTCACGCATGGGGTGCTTGTTTCACGCATGGGGTGCTTGTTTCACGCATGGGGTGCTTGTTTCACGCATGGGGTGCTTGTTTCACGCATGGGGTGCTTGTTTCACGCATGGGGTGCTTGTTTCACGCATGGGGTGCTTGTTTCACGTATGGGGTGCTTGTTTCACGTATGGGGTGCTTGTTTCACGTATGGGGTGCTTGTTTCACGTATGGGGTGCTTGTTTCACGTTTACATGCTGCCTAACGGACCCATGCAGTATCAGCTGTGCCACTTCGACGCTGCACGCTGCACCGCTCTCAGATTCCTCACGGCACCTCCCTCCCTCCCACCGCTGTCCCTTTTTCGCTCCCTCGCCTTCCCCTCTCCTCCTCATCCCACCAGCTGTCGCCCGCGGCTGCCCGATGGCACGTGGGGCGACGAGGTGCTTTCGGCTCCCGGGCCCATCGTGTTGCCAGGTGAGACGTACTGGCATGTACTGCCATATGCTGCCATTCTCTTAATGCTGCCATGCCATCTCTTCATGCTGCCAGGTCGTATTGTCTTGCCAAGCCCCCCCATGCTGTCTGGGCAGGTCTTACTGCTGCCAAGTCAGCCGTCCTGTTGTCACACAAACCTTTTGCTTCACCACACCTCAACCCTGTACCCTCCCCTGCTCTCTGCCTCCCCTCCTCTTAAACCCCCCTCTCCCCCCCTTTTTAAACACCAGAGCTGTCGGACGAGGAGGCGGTGCCGCAGGAGGTGCAGGGGGGGTTGGAGGTGAAGGTGGTGCTGTGTGCTGTGTCCTCTGCACTGGAGCCTTCGACCCTATGCCCGTCCCCCCTTCTCTCCCACACCAACCCCTACCCCCCATCACCCCTTCCCGCTGAATGCACCAGAGCTGTCGGACGAGGAGGCGGTGTCGCTGGAGGTGCAGGGGCGGGCAGAGGTGGGAGCCGTGCTGCACGCCGTGCATGCCGTGTCGCCCGCGCTGGAGCCCTTCGTCACGGCCGTGCACGTACAGTGGTGAGAGCCGTGCTTGCATGTATGCGTTGTTCTACATTCTGCAGTACTTGAGTTGCTCATGCGTGTGTGCACGCTCACATCACATGCGTCACACACACAGACCCCTCTCTGTTTTCTCCCCTCTCGCAGGTGGCAGGCCAGCAGTGGCTCTGACTCGCACCAACCAATAGACGGTGCCACGTCACCGCAGTTACCAGTGGCAGCGTGCCACGTGGGCGCGTACCTGCTGTGCTCCGCCACGGTGCTGGACTCGTTCGCCCGCTCCTTCAACTCCGTCGCCACCACCGCCACCCCCGTTGTCGCCGCTTCTGCCGCTCCTGTCAATGCCACTCCCATCTCCGCCACCCCGCTATCACCAGCCCTTGTTGCTGCGGTCCCTGTTGCGGGTGGCGCCGCCGCTCCCACCACCCCATGCACTGCGGATGGGCTGCCTGCCTCTGACCCCGCTGTGCCTGCTCCCCCTGCCGCCGCCGCTGCTGCTGCTGCCGACACTACTGTGAACGCCGCTGCTGCAGGTGCGGATAAGGCGGCTGGCATGCAGAGGGCGCAGCAGCAGCAGCAGCAGCAGCAGGAGGAGTACGGTGGTGGTGGCGAGGGGGAGACGCTGCTGGAGGGTGGTGAGAGGGGGGTGCATGGCGGTCACGAGCAATGGCGTGCACACAGGAGAGGGGGTGAGCGGGAGGGAGGCCATGTGGAGGGAGGAGGAGGCGAACGGGAGAGCAGGGTAGGGGCAGAGGCCGCAGCGGCTGATGGAGGTAAGGCGCATGAATCAGATCGTTCGGACATAGGGCGGTCGTTTCCACTGGCCGCACCTTACCCCTCACTGTCCGTGCCGCCTTCCCCCGTTTCCTCACATTCCCACCTCTCCACCCGCGTCTCCTCACCTCCCCACTATCCCACACCCCTCTCTCTCCCACCTGCCCTACAGGCCCTACCCCCTCCCAGCACCCCACCGCCCTGCGCATATCAGGAGCCCCCTACCACATCTCGCTCTTCCACCTGCACCTGCCATCAGCGCCCCACTATCCTGCAATTCTCTCCCTCCCTCCCTCCCCGCTGCAGCCCTGCGCATATCTGGAGGCCCCTTCCACACGTCGCTCTTCCACCTGCACCTGCCAGCAGCGCCCCCCGCCCCCGCATGGCTGCGCCTCTCCTCCTGCGCCATCCAGTGGTTCCGCGTGCCTCCAGGGGGCTTCCATGCGCTGGACCCCCACGCCATACCAGGTGCGAGCTCACATGTCTCAGGGCTCAGTCAAGCTGACTCTTGCTGCCATACCCCCCCCTGGCGGCCATGTGCCCCTCCCATGAGCCCCCCCTGCGTCTGACTCTGCGTGTGACACGATCAGTGCAACATCTACCCTGTCACCTCTGCCCTCACGAGCCACCTTGTTCCTCTGTGACTTCCACCGCATGCCCTGACTTCCACCGCATGCCCTCGTGACTTCCCTCCTGCATTCAGCCGCCTCAAAGCACACCCATCCTCCTCCCCACCTCCATCCCTTCCTTCCCACAACCCACACCGATGCAGGTGCCACCGGCACGACCTACCATGCTGACGTGGCAGACTCACACCAGTGCCTGATGGTGGAAGTGAGACCCCTGCACGCCCATGGGGATGCCTCTCAGCTTGACAGTGGCGCCGCCTCCCAGTCGCAGGGAGGCCGCAGGGAGGAGGTGCTGCGAGTGCTGTCAGAGCAAGTGCTCGTCGGTACGGGCCACACTCTGCCTGCTCTGTCGCTGCTTCCTCTGCACTAACAACGATGCACTGTTTGCAATCCTATGCACTGTTCATCCTTAACCGTCCGTATGTGCGCTGTTCACCACCCCCCGCTCACCAGACCCCGCAGTGGCGCGCGACGTGGACCTCATAGTGGCGGCTGGCGGCACCAAAGTGGAGGTCAGCCCTGGGCGTCGGGGCTGGGGACACCATGGGTGCATCATGTGGCCCTGTGCTGCCATGTGGTCATGTGCTGCCATGTGTCATGTGCTGCCATGCGGTCATGTGCTGCCATGCGGTCATGTGCTGCCATGCGGTCATGTGCTGCCATGCGGTCATGTGCTGCCATGCGGTCATGTGCTGCCATGTGTCAGGGCTTACACTGCATGCTGCAATACCTCTTGAGGAGCCATGGCTTCCTGCTGTGATGCTGTGCATGCCATGTGTGCTGTACATACAACCATCCTCCTCAACTCCACCTTAGTTGCCGCACTCCCCTCCTTCCACGTCTTGCTCCCCTTGCCCCGTCTCTACTTCTCCCCTCCCTGATCTATCCATTCCCCTTCCGTCCTTCTCCCACCGCTCTCCCCTTCCCCACCTCCTCCCCCCCCCAACCCCCCACCCCCTTGCCTAGCAGACACATGATGTTGGCCGGTCGGGGCGCAGGGAGCACCGAGTGGTGGACGCCAATAGAAAGCGGTTCAAAGTGGTGAAGCTCACTGCCTTGGCTGCCATCAGCAGAGTGGAAGTCAGGGCCACCTACGACCCTCCCTTCAGGGTACTGCATCCATCCACCCCTCCTCCCTTCAGGGTACTGCCCTCCACCTCCCCTCCCACAAACCTGCCAGACCCCCCTTCCTCCCCTTTCCCCTTCCTCCCCTTTCCCCCTTCCTCCCCCTTCCCCCTCCCCTGTCCCCTCCCCGAATACCACTCCCCCTCACTTATCATGTGCAACATCCACACACTCAGCCCCCATGCGTCCACCCTGACGCACGCCCCTGCGCCATGCCCCATGTGTGCGTGCAGGTGGAGACGGAGAGGGGGCAGCTCGAGCACATGCGCATAGTGGTGAGCACGGAGAAGGAGGTGGAGCTCACCCTGCCGTCGCAGCGAGCGCGCGACGTGATGGTGCTGTGCCTGCGCGCCTTCGTGCAGCTGCACCGCACCGCCAAGCACCACTGATGGGGACAGCACCACCACACAACCCCGCACGCTGCTAGGCAACACTACAACAAAGCCACCGTGTTGCACCGTGCAGCACCGCACACACAAGTGTTGCTGGTGATGCCGTCCCTGCGGCATGGCCTCAGTTGTGCCAAGGTGGCCGCTGGGCTGAATAAGCGTCCCAACGCTCCCAGTGCACCGTGCACCATGCACCATGCACCATGCACCATGCACCATGCACCATGCACCATGCACCATGCACCATACACCATGCACCATGCACCATGCACTATGCCCATTCTGCTGCTGCTCATGCAGAGAGGAGCCTCAACGGGCAGGCATTAGCGCCTGTCCTTGCTCCCCAAGGTCAGAGGGAGGGAGCTTAGGAACAGCCAGAGCAGTTTGATTGCCTTCAGATTCAGATGGATGTGGTAATTGTCACTCAACTAGAAAGATCAACACTTAATAATAAAGCTGGGTGGCCGCTTGCTGCTGCTACTGCATTTCTGAAAAAGGAGAAAACTAACTGGCTAGGCAACGCTATTGGGAGGGATACAGCAGGAATGCTGATATCATAAGCAGAGACGGCAAGCTGCATGCGGGAGCCGTTTCTAGCCAGCCTCAGGAAGGCAAACACTTGTTCCAGGACGTCAGGAGGCGCGCTCTCAGCACAGGAGCAACACGGTGTTACTGTTCACACGGCTGTGAGCAGACTCTGTTCTGCCCGTTGCGCACCAATAGGCAGTCCAGCAGGGCTGGCACGTGTGAGCCGCCTCTCTTCTTCTGCCCATGCGGGCTTTGCTTGGTCACAGGAGAGGGGCTGGCAAGGCAAGTGAGGCGGTCAGAGCAGGGGGGAGGCGGAGGGGAGAGCGAGGGCGGGCGAGGCGAGGATGCGGCGCAGAGCCGCCTCCGCTGCTGGCAGCGAGTCCACGGCGTCCGACGTGGTGAAGGACAGGCGTTGCACATGGAACTGAAAAAGGGGGGGGAGGGGGAGGGGGAGAGGGAGACGGGAAGAGATGAGGGGGGAATGAAGCATAGAGAGGGGGGGGAATGAATAGCATGAAGAGGCATGTGCGGAGTGTTGCACTACCATGGGCTGTATCAATGTGCCTGTATCAATGTGCCTGTATCAATGTGCCTGCATCAATGTGCCTGTATCAATGTGCCTGTACTGTATCAATGTGCCTGTATCAATGTGCCTGTACGCCGTGCCCACTCGCCTGCGTGCCGTGGCGCACGCGGATGTCCACGCCCTTGCTGTCGATGCTGATGAACGACGCGTCATCGATGGGCTGCGAGTTGGACCCCGCCAGCACCGCCCTCAGCTCGCCGCCCAGCCGGTCGTTCAGACCCTGCCATGCTCGCGTGGGGTGGGGTGGGGTGGGGTGGGGTGGGGCGGGGTGGGGTGGGGTGGGATGGGTTGGGGTGGGACGGGGGTGGGGTGGGGTGGGGTGGGGGCGGCACAGGTATGGCTGCTGCTGATGGGCGAAATAGATTCGGGTGGGGCTGTCTACGCTAGCAGGCACCGGGATAAGAATGAGAGATGCTGCATGGGGGAAGTACATGCTGTGCTAAATCAGCCATCATCTGCAGTGTCTTTTACTGAGTCATCACCTGCAGAGTCTTATAACGAGTCCTCACCTGCAGTTTCTGGCTAAATGAATCTATTATGGTTGTAACGGACCTGCAGTGTCTGGTCCACGTTGTTGGTGGCGACGGGGTCGGGCGTGGCTGCCACATACTCCGCCACGTCGATCCAAGCAACCGTGCCAAAGCCGCCCACAAAGTAGATGTCGCTGCCAGGGGGGCAGAAGGGGACGTGCGAGCAGGAAGCAGGAGCATGTGAGCAAGGGGGCAAGTGAGCAAAGGGGCGTGCAGAGCCACGAATGCTTGCTTCAGCCAGACAACCACGGCAATACAAGTACTCCCGCTCACTGTTACCAGATGGCTCATGCAGTTACCAAATAAACCATGCGGCACCATGCAGTTACCAGATGGCACCATGCGGCACCATGCAGTTACCAGATGGCACCATGCGGCACCATGCAGTTACCAGATGGCACCATGCGGCACCATGCAGTTACCAGATGGCACCATGCGGCACCATGCAGTTACCAGATGGCACCATGCGGCACCATGCAGTTACCAGATGGCACCATGCGGCACCATGCAGTTACCAGATGGCACCATGCGGCACCATGCGGTTACCAGATGGTATCCATGCGGTAGAAGTGGAAGTTGCCCCACTGCTGTGCTGCCCCGTGCTGGTGCCGCTTCACATAGAACCCGCGCGCCCACTCCTGGTGGGGGCAGAGGGAACGGGGGGGTGGAGAAAGGTGAGCGCCATGGGTGCAGCAGTGCGGGCGTAGGAGCACGGATTGAGTGGGAGGGTTTAGACGGAGCGGAGGGTGATGGGGGGAGGAGGAGCGCGAGGGGTGTAGGAGCAGCAGTGCGAGGGGCGTAGAGAGTACGGATTCTTGGGACGAAGTGCAGCCGTGTGCTCGTGCTGCTGTAGGCACAGGGGGCTAGTGGCAGGGGGGCTAGTGGCAGGGGGGCTAGTGGCAGGGGGGTTAGTGGCAGGGGGGCTAGTGGCACGGGGGCCTAGTGGCACGGGGGCCTAGTGGCAAGCACGGGGGCTAGTGGCACGGGGGCCTAGTGGCACGGGGGCTAGTGGCACGGGGGCTAGTGGCACGGGGGCTAGTGGCACGGGGGCTAGTGGCACAGGGGCCTAGTGGCACGGGGGCTAGTGGCACGGGGGCTAGTGGCACGGGGGTACCGTGATCCCTGGAAACGAGGCCCGCCTTTTATTTAGCCGACCCAATGGTCGTACGAGGACCAGCCAAGAGAAATGAGAGATGACGCCTGCTGTGCGGGCGGCAGGGGGTAGAGGATTTACCTGCTGGGCGGGCGGCAGGGGGTAGAGGCTTTACCTGCTGGGCGGGCGGCAGGGGGTAGAGGCTTTACCTGCTGGGCGGGCGGCAGGGGGTAGAGGCTTTACCTGCTGGGCGGGCGGCAAGGGGTAGAGGCTTTACCTGCTGGGCGGGCGGCAGGGGGTAGAGGTCTCCGAAGATGGTGGCTCTGGCGTTGGCGAGGCCGCTCCAGCCGGGGATCTGCACGACCACGGTGCAGCGCGGGTCCGAGTGCAGGTTGCGCGAGTGCATGCCCAGCGGCGACAGCAGGAAGATGGGGTCTGACGGGCGGACAGGGGGCGGGGATGGAGAGAAGGGACGTCGATGTGGCAGGAGTTGGGGTGCGGCAAAACACGATGCCATGATGCCAGAGCTGTCAGAGAGGCCCCTTTCGTCCTTGCTCTTCCCTGCCATCGCGCACACTCTCTCTCAAACCCGCTCTCGCCACTCACAACCGTCACCCCATCCCCCCACTCACGCCCATCAGCATCAGTGGTGAAGTCCACGAGCGACCCAAACGGGTAGCCCTTGCGGCGGTGGTGCGACCTTGACATGATGGAGCAGAGCTGCGCGTACTGCGCCTGCTCCACCAGGTTGCGCACCGCCACCGCTGGCGCCGGCAGTCCGTGCGCGCTCGTGGCGCTCTCCACGCCGCCGGAGACGGGCGAGCGGAAGAGACCCGAGCGCGTGGCGGACACTGGAGGGAGGGGAGGGAGGGAAGGGTGGTGCGGGAGAGGGTGGTGGGACACGGAAGGGTAGAAAAGGGAAGGTGCAGCATGGGCGAGGGATGGGCGGCAGAGAGTGGCTGGCGGGCATGGCGGCAAAGATGCGGCAGTGGGAATGTGGGAGGGGGTGGTGAGGGATGGCGGGGGTGGGGGCGGGAGCGGGGAGCGCGGGGGGGCAGTGCGGGAATGTGGTCAGGCAGGGTGCCCGCCCTCACAGCGCCCTCTCACTCACCCGCCCTCACAGCGCCCTCTCACTCACACGCCCTCACAGCGCCCTCTCACTCACCCGCCCCTCACAGCGCCCTCTCACTCACCCGCCCTCACAGCGCCCTCTCACTCACACGCCCTCACAGCGCCCTCTCACTCACCCGCCCTCACAGCGCCCTCTGACTCACACGCCCTCACAGCGCCCTCTCACTCACCCGCCCTCACAGCGCCCTCTCACTCGCCCCGCCCTCACAGCGCCCTCTTCACTCACCCGCCCTCACAGCGCCTCTCACTCACCTGCCCTCACAGCGCCCTCTCACTCACCCGCCCTCACAGCGCCCTCTCACTCACCCGCCCTCACAGCGCCCTCTCACTCACACGCCCTCACAGCGCCCTCTCACTCACCCGCCCTCACAGCGCCCTCTCACTCACCCGCCCTCACAGCGCCCTCTCACTCACACGCCCTCACAGCGCCCTCTCACTCACCCGCCCTCACAGCGCCCTCTCACTCACCCGCCCTCACAGCGCCCTCTCACTCGCCCGCCCTCACAGCGCCCTCTCACTCACCCGCCCTCACAGCGCCCTCTCACTCACCCGCCCTCACAGCGCACTCTCACTCACCCGCCCTCACAGCGCCCTCTCACTCACCCGCCCTCACAGCGCCCTCTCACTCACACGCCCTCACAGCGCCCTCTCACTCACCCGCCCTCACAGCGCCCTCTCACTCACCCGCCCTCACAGCGCCCTCTCACTCACACGCCCTCACAGCGCCCTCTCACTCACCCGCCCTCACAGCGCCCTCTGACTCACACGCCCTCACAGCGCCCTCTCACTCACCCGCCCTCACAGCGCCCTCTGACTCACACGCCCTCACAGCGCCCTCTCACTCACCCACCCTCACAGCGCCCTCTCACTCGCCCGCCCTCACAGCGCCCTCTCACTCACCCGCCCTCACAGCGCCCTCTCACTCACCGCCCTCACAGCGCCCTCTCACTCACCCGCCCTCACAGCGCCCTCTCACTCACCCGCCCTCACAGCGCCCTCTCACTCACACGCCCTCACAGCGCCCTCTCACTCACCCGCCCTCACAGCGCCCTCTCACTACTCACCCGCCTCACAGCGCCCTCTCACTCACACGCCCTCACAGCGCCCTCTCACTCACCCGCCCTCACAGCGCTGTCGCCAGCAATTTGCACCAGCGGCGCCGCCTCCTGCTCGCCCGCGCCCGCTCCCGAAGCCGCGCACGATACCCTCCGCCTGCGGGGGGAAGCGCGCACTGCGCTTGGCGGAGTGGCGCTGCCAGTCGGGGCCGAGGGGGGAAGCGGTGGCTAGAGAGTGGGCGGAGGAGAGTCGGCGTGCGCGTGGCAATGGACGCGCGGAAGGGAGACTCGCGCGGAGTTGCAGATCTGGGGAATGGCGGAGGTGGTGGCGCGCGGACAAGGGTGCTCTGGGAAGGCGAGAGGGGGGGAGGGAGAGGCGACAGTGGGGGGGGAGAATGAGAAAGGAAGCGCGAGGACGGAAGCCAAGGGAAATGTGGGCGATTCGGGAACCTGCCCGAACGCTAGCATCTCGTCCTTCACACGGCAGCCGCCTGTAGAAGTGGAAGTAACAGCCCACACGCACACGAAGGCGCCCGTTCCGGCACGCGATAAGCGCTCACCGCGTGCGAACACCGCAGCAGCGGACGGCGACTCACCTACTGCATTCGCTCGCTGATGTCGCTGTGGCCAGGGGTCGCGCTCCTGGCGGCAAGGCAGGGTGGATGCGGAGGCCATGGGACGGACGCGCGGGGAAGGGGGAATGCAGGAGGGGGGAACGCTGTGCGGAGGAATGATGGGCGGAGGTCCGCGGGACAACGCCAATGGGCGACGTAACTCGCCCGCTTCGCGTCGTGAGCTAAGTATTGGTCGGGCGGCAGTTTTACTTTTGGCGGCGAATGGACCGAGGGCCGCAGTTGTCGTGATCTCGAGGTGGGCGAAGAAAAATGGCGGAGATCAGAGGAAAATTTGACCTTGGGTTTGTCGGTCAAACTTGGGGTTCGGGGGATGGGCTTACCAGGGGAAAATATTAATATTACAGGTCATATTTCGTAAGCGCCAACTCCACGATTCTTGTAACACAAATACTGTAATTGGTTTTGACGTTGTTGCTGTGCCAGCTTGAGGGGGAATGAGCTGCTTACACGTGGCCGATATTGTCGGAATCCTGGAATACTGAGGCACAAGCCAATCAGCGCGCGAGTCGCGTCAGCATCAACGCAATGTCGAGACTAGGTTGAATCTTTAGTAGAAGAATAGGTTTCGGCAGCTACCTGATTGTCGCTGTTACAGAGACGAGACATCCCTTATCGGGGTCAAACCTGCCTGACCACGCGCCTGACCACCCACCATAGCACATATTTGGCGCCAAGCAAGCAGCCTAGAACGCCGCCAAGATCCTCTTTCTCCCAGTCGTCCCTTGTCGCCTGCTCACTCGCTTGGTTCACCTCCACTTTTATCTCTCCGCAACCCCAACTCACCGCGCTGCTCGCGTGGATGCCGTCTAACCATAGTCCAGTTCCAAACTTCTTCTTCGGAGTTCTTTCCGCCGTGCCTTCTTGAACCAACCCCGCTTCCGTGACCCGCGGGTTGCCGCCATGCGACGAGCGGCGAGACGGAGGCAGAGGAGCGGGTTGGAGAAACCTTCAAGAGCAGTGTGGGCTGGACGCGTGAGGCGCGTAAGCGGCGTGAGGTGCGGGACACCCAGCAGCAGTGCTGAGAGTGCGTGGTGCAGTTGAGTGTACAGCGATGATTATGAATTGACTCCACGACACGACCAGCGCACCACCCACGGCACTGCGGATTCAAGCGCAGCAGCGCCGCGTCGAGGCCCTGAGCCGTTCATAGCCCTCTTGCCCTCTCACCCGGGTTGCCCCCCCGATCTTGTATCATATCCTTCTCTCTCGCGCACCCCCCTGACGGTCTCTTGGAATCGGAGAGATTTGTACATATTTGTCCTCTCCGCCTCTCCGCCCTCTCCGCGTCTCCGCCGTCCGTCATGTCGTCCCCGACGCTGCTGGCGCGCCAGGCGTCGATCTACTCGCTCACGCTCGACGAGTTCCAGGCGGCCTTCGCAGGCCCGTCGCACGCCGTCGCATCCATGCCCATGGACGACTTCCTGCGATCCGTCTGGCTCGCCGAGGAGTCGCACATGCTCGCAGCCGCGGACCCGCGCGCGCGCGACAGGGCCGCGGGGCTGCTGCGCGCGCGCTCGCTGCGGCGGCAGAAATCCGCAGCGGCGCTTCCGCGCGCGCTGACTGCGCGGACAGTAGAGGACGTGTGGAAAGACATTCAGGCGGAACTAGCGGGGGAGGGGGAAGCAGAGGAAGGGGGCGGAGCGTCTGGGGAAGGAACGCGCACAGGGGGGGAGCGCAGCAGCTAGCGCAGGGGCAAAGGCAGCAGCAGGGACGGCAAATGTCGTTTGCGGAGATAACACTAGAAGATTTCCTGGTGCGCGCAGGGATATCGAAGGAAGAGCTTATAGGGGGGATAGAGGCGATAGAGGGAGAGCAGGCAGGTGGGGAAGAGGGGAGTGGCGGAGTGGGGAACAGTGCGCGGAGAGAGGGGGAGGGGGATGCAGTGGCCCAAGGGGAAGAGGCGGAGAGACGGGGGGAAGGATTGGGGGCGACGGTAGGTGAGGAGGCAGGCGGGGGTGGCTCAGGGGGCATGGGGGCGTATAACGGTGCTGGCAGTGCTGCCATGGCGCCCGATGCAGCAGCAGCAGCAGCAGCAGCGACAGCAGGGTGGGCGCTGTACCCGCATGCACTGACGCCAGGGCAAGCAAACCTCCTATCCATGCAGCTGCACCCCCACCACCACCACCACCAGCAGCAGGGGCAGCAGGGGCAGCAGGGCGGCCAGGGCGGGGGAGGCGGAGGCGGAGGGGGAGGGGCAGGGGCAGGGGAGCGGGCGCTGCGGCAGCAGGCGGTGGTGGAGATGGCGGCGGCAGCCGTGGCGGACGCGGGGCACAGCCACGTGGCGTCCGCCTTCGCCGCCACGCACCACGCCGCTGCCGCCGCTGCCCTCGGAGAGCTGGGAACGCTGGGGTCGCTGGGTGCGCCGCCTGCTGGGCTCCCCATGGGGCTGGGGATGGGCGCAGGCATGGGCGGGGGTGGGGAATGGCGGCCACTGCTTATGGCTTGGGCGCAGGCATGGGCGCAGGCATGGGCGCAGGCATGGGCACGGGGGACCGGCGGGGCTGGCTGGTGCGGGCATGATGTCGACAGATGGAGTGGGGGGCGGGGGGAGAGGTGGGCGGGCAGTGACGGGGGAGGGGGAGGGGGGCAGTCGGATACTGGCTGGGGGAGTGGGGATGGGGACACCATGAGCGGGGGCGTGGGGGGAGTGGGGGGCGGAGGGGGAGGAAGCGGAGTGGGGAGGGGGAGGGGCGCCGGTGGAGCGGAGGCAGAAGCGCATGATCAAGAACAGAGAGTCGGCGGCGCGGTCCAGGGCACGCAAACAGGTGCGGTGAGGCTGAGGCTGAGGCTGAGGCTGAGGCTGAGGTGAAGGCTTCGAGTAGATGGGTGGTTGAGGTCAACGGCATGAGCACTACGCTGGCCGTGCTTACTGGTGGTGGCATTGGCCGTGCTGCTGATCACGCCATTTGTGTCCAGTGCTGAGGAGGTGGAGAGGTCATTCTCACCATAGCGTGGTAACATCCATCCCGTTGCTCCCCCGTGCATCTGTGTCCCCCCCGTGCCTCTGTGCGCCCCCAGGCGTACACGGTGGAGCTGGAGGCGGAGGTGGCGCAGCTCAAGGAGGAGAACGAGCAGCTGCGCGCGCAGCTCATGACGGCGCAGACGCAGGTGGGTGGGGGGAATGCGCGACTTAAGGCCATGCTCAGTCAGGTGGGGCGCGCAGACGCGGGTGGGTGTTGGAGATGCAGACGCAGGTGGGGAGGGAGGGGGGTGGTGTGCTGCTGATGGTCCTCTGGCATTCGCATGTGGGTG